ACGATGTAATGATTAAATTTATGCTAACTGAATTGAAGAACATTGGCGGTAAACCTTGGTTATTGGATGGATTTCCCAGAACTGTGGCACAAGCAAATGCATTATGGAAGGTACAACCAGTGGATGTAGTTTTAAATTTGGAAGTACCATTTGAAGTCATTATAGACAGAGTAAAGAATCGGTGGGTGCATTTGCAGTCAGGTAGGGTATACAATATAGGTTTTAATACTCCTAAGGTTATGGGAAAAGATGATGTAACTGGTGAAGATTTGTTTCAACGTCCTGATGACAAACCCGAAGCTGTTCAAAAAAGATTAGAAATTTACAAAAGTGTTACCCAACCTGTAATTGATTTTTATAAAGAAAAAGGTATACTAAAAATTTTTGAAGGACGCTCATCAGATGAAATATGGCCAAAGGTAACTTTATTCTTAGATCCAATATTAAATAGGTAATATTAAAGTTTTAGGACGAAAATTTACACTCTACACTACATCTTTATTTAGTGCCTTTTTGATTGGTATAGTGATTTAGGGTAGGTTTTCGTACAATTAGTTCTGAAAGAACATTTTATATAAATAAGTGTAATATATCTCTAAGTTTTGTTGTATGTTAATATTATAGATTAGAAGTCAAAAGTGCAATATTGTCTTCCAATATAAAACATAATCCATAGAATTTCATATTATAGTTATTTTTTTCATTTGATTCACTAGTCATAAAATATTTAACTCTCAAACTTGTAACGTCGTGTCTATAGATTTTTTACAATTTTAATTACCATTATTCACTTTCTACCTTATAATCGCTTTATGTTTGAATCTGATTTATTTTAACAATTATTTCATATGATTAAGCCTTTAAACTTATTAATACATATATTGTGTAATATCAATATAAAGGAAATATTCATTCATATCATCAATCAACAGTGTTCCTAAATGTAATGCTATGATATTACTAGTTTCAATATGAGGAAGTTATCTTATAGCACCTAATACAATTAGTACCATTTTGTAAGGTTTCACAAAATGTGACACGAAAGCTGTAAAAACTCAGTGTCTAGCCAATCTTTCAATCTCACATAATTATTAAGTTCCAAAACTAGCACAAATAAAATTATTCCTGATTCATTACATAAACAGCTGTGTGTACATCAAATGAAGTAAAATTATTTTTTATTAATTAATTTAAAGTTGTAACATCTGCTAATTTGCTACTGAGTAGTGAAGTGGGGTATGCTTTAACACAATGGAGCCTTTGTGCACTTATGGGGCAAAATTGCTTAAATTTATGTGATTATTACACATTTTAGCTCGCACTTACTGTGTAAATTGAAGAGAAAACTAATACATTTTTAGTTAATAATGTCATCTGTTTCTATATTCTGTAACTATTAGCAAAATTGAGAGTTAAATTCAAAAGAAAACCATGACTAAAATGAGTCCATAAAGAATTTTACAATACATTACAATATCTATTACAATCACACAATTTTACAAGGTTCATACAAATTTTGTAGTCTTTTCAATGTAATAATGTTGTTAAGAATATAATGTTAAATTTTTAGGTGTGTAATACATTTTATATATTTATATTTTATATGTATTTAATTTCCCACCCGTCAGAAGTTCAATCTCTTTATTATTTGCAATATGTTTGCATGGATATAATATACACCTTGTTATATATGTTCACTGTTGTGATTACCAAATTATAGTAGATAAGTAGTGGATACTAGTCAGTGCATTGCCAAATTGTATACATAATTGTTTTTATCATAAAAGAAATCTATATTATAGATAATTGTTATCATGTTATTTATAGTTATCATTATTTAAAAATTTGCAGTTTATTATGAAATGGAAACTTTTTATATTTATTATAATATATTTTTTTTAATTGTTAATATTGGCTTTACAATTGGAACCGTTGCCGTGGAACTATCTTATATAAAAAAAGAACGGCTGGACCAATTTGGCTAATTTTGGTCTTGATATATTCGTGGCAGTCCAGGGAAGGTTTAAACGATGAGAAATTATGGACAAATTGCATCGAAAATCGAAATATCAACAATTTTATTTTCCCATACAAACTACCTGTCAACCTGTCAAACAATTTTTGAACGCATTCTGATTCCTCTAGAAATAATTTATATGGCAAAACAATGTTTGCAGAATCAGCTAGTTTTAAAATAAAAGTTTATTAACAAATAATAGATGAAATGCCTGTAATAATAGAAATAATTTTTGTGTGTTAAGTACTTAAAAATATAACATATATTATTGAAAGAGATGATGAATGAGCAAGCTACAGATATATGGGATATACAAAATGGGAATAGGAAAGCTCTGTACCATCACTTGTCCCAATTTATTAATAAAATTGTTTTTTGGTATTACATATAACTGTAGAACTTTTCGTCAAACTGGAATTCGAAAAATGGTAACAGATGTTATATCACCTTTTTATATTATTAATTTTTTCAACATTTTTTTTGTTTTAATATTTTATAATATTTCGTTTTATTAAAGCTCAATGGTGATACTTAGAGATAAAAAACTCGTATTTATTTGTCATTATCATAATTTTTGTGTTGCAATAAGGTACAACATCACTGCTGTGAGGCCATCAAAAAGGTTCGCTTTTAAAACTTTGTAAAATAGTATTGCAGGCGATTATAACGTAGATTATGAAGTACCCTTTACAGGTATGTCAATTTAACATTTTTTTAAATTTATTTGTAACCGTTTCTAAGGACGTATTAATTTAATATTAAAGAAATATTTCGCACAAATCATCACAAAATCTATTAGTATTTTAAATATATTTGTATAATTTGTACTATTTTAGGATTTGTATTTTTACGTTATGTATTCGTAATGAAATAAATACTGTTTAGCGGCGTTGTTTTAGACTGTTTTTAATTTGACATTAAAGTGTTTGAAAGAGTGTGTGTTTTTCCTCCTAGCCTCCTCAACTTTACTATGGGTCAATGTTCATTTTTAAAACCTAATCCTTTTTGTTTGATTCTGTGCTTGACCGGTATGTATGTATTCATCAGTTTCCTCATAACTTCTTAAGTCGTAATTTGACAAATGAAGTACGTTGGAAGCGTCAACGTCAGCGTAAACGTAGTGATTACATTCTCTTTGGGAAGCGTCTTGAGCGTCCACTGGTTACTGAATATATGACGTCACATTAAACTGAATATGGTGCTTTCTAGAGGAACATCATGAACATTTTTTTAATGATGCTGTGTCGGGTAACATAATATAAGGTTCAATTAGCACATTTCAAATATATATATATATATATATATTAGCTGGTGCTTGCGGTTTTGCTTGAATGCACCCGATAATTGGTAAAACCCGATGTAAGCCAAACGAACATTGAGGAAGGACATAGAATAGTCTTTATTTCGGTAGCACACGGTGGTAGAGCCACGTAGCAGCCTCAGATGTTGCACGAATGGGCAGACTCGTCCGGGTAAGTATCACGACCTCACAGAAGACCGGCGTTAAGTGGAAGTATAATACTTTCGCCGTGCGCGTTTCGTCAGGTGAGCGAGGTTGCCGCAGCCCAATTTTCAAAAGGATGTCAACGCATCTGCAATCCTCGGGTGTAGCTGTAGATGTCCATGGGCGGCGGTATTCACTTAACATCAGGTGAACCGTCTGCTCGCTTGACAACTTTTCACATTAAAAAAAATCTTGAGGAATCCGAAAGGTCTTTCACATTTAGAAACGTAAACCTAGGTGTAATTTTTGTATATTACCTATGTACATGGAAAACAAAACAAACGTAATTCGGCTTTGCAAATGCTTTGTCGCGAAAACTAAGTGTTGAGAACTGAGTTCAAAAACTAACACTAGAATTCTGAAAAATCGCGAAGTATGAAACAATAAACTATTCTCATCAGAAAAGTTGTTATCTACAAACTATTCAACATTTATCATCTTAAATAAGCTACTATTATAATGAATTAATACATCAGATTTATACGTCATGTTCAGTGGACAACCGTGGCCGTATGTATACACTGATTATAGATGTTACATTAGTAAGAAGGCCGAAATATAAGCCTTTCGGCATTAAAATACGCCAAGTAGTTTTAGCTAACAGATAATTTTACCCAGTTTCACTAAGAGGAACAATGTTAAAGGCTATTGACAATGTTAGAGGTGCGGACGCGGTTTTTGTTTATCTCTGGCTACGCGACTGCATTGCAAACAACTCACTAGAACGTGTTGCAAACAGCGTATGCGGTAAACGTATAGGTATTTGTTAGTAAAACTATCTGCGCTTTATCGTATAAGCTTATTACGTAAAATTATTAGTAAATTATTTTTTTCGAAGCAAATTGTTTTCGATAACGGATTTACAGATATTTGTTTTATAATGATTGTTCATTTCGTATGCAATTATTACAAAAAGAAATTTTATTTTTTAACTAATCAAAATGAATGCTTAAGATTTTTAAGTTTTGGATAAGAGAACAAAACACATGTAGATTGCCTATGTACTTAAAGCTTCGCAAAATTACTTTAGTAGTAGTAGCATAAGTATGTGGAGTTATCGTCATAGTTTGACAATTTTTAAGGAAACTAAATATTAAATAAAATATTTTTTTCTTTTTCGAACGATAGTTTATAACTCATAACTTTAAATTCAATGAAATTACAGTATGAAAATAAAACATTTAAAATTTTATATCGGCCTAAAGTTGCCTTGACTTGCACTCGAATATCTGGGACACGGTCTGACGAGTTATTTGTATTCATTACGTAGGAACCATTGACGTAGGTTTAGATTTAAAATATTCGATGTAAAAAGTTTTTAACGAGTTTATTTATGCCTATGACGGTCCAAGAACTTTTCGTAGGACCAAGTACTTTTCCTAGGAGTAGTATGATTTTCTTTTTCGAGTTGTCACCGTCATTTATTGAATATATAATTTCATTGTGATAAGTATAGGCTTGGAATAAATAATAGCTTACCGTCAACACTTGCGTCGTAATTTTCTAGCACGAAAAAGGAATAAGCAAACACTAAAAGCACATCGGGTTCACTGTCGCTTCGCGACTATTGGTTTCTTTTTACGCACTTTTCTCATTGTCTGAACAACAATTGTCCACTTGTATTCATTCGCATGTAGGATATCTTATTGCTTTACAGACAGAAATAGTGTAACTAGTATGTGAAAACGCTAGTCGGTCGCGGCTGTCGTGAGCGCGCGAACCCCGATTATTTTTAGCCACTTTCGTGCATCGGCGCTGAAATTAGACTGTAAATAAAAAGCTGCTGTTAACAGGAGTCGTAGTACTCGTTAATCTTGCAGATGCGGTCCATATTAATCGAGATTTTGACGAACGAATGACCTATATGAGCTACCGATCATCACACGTGATTAAATAGCACATGTCACGTTGTCAATATTAAGTTTGCCGGCATTCACAAATGCGTTACAAGCAGATTACTGTTCGCACGTTCTTTGTAATGCTGCAACTATACAACGAGGAATTTTGATATTTATTTGATTCCAACATGGTTTCTTAAGTAAGCAAGTTTACGTGCAGAATATTCTACAAGGAAAATGTATTTTAATATAGCATTTTGAATTTAGACTAATAATGACGATTTTGGAAGAAAATCTTATTTACACGTATTGATTCTATCAAAACAATTTAAACTGGACTATATAAAAACAAAATAACATACATATTCTTCAAGAAAAGTAACTAGTTTTACACCGAGTTATTACACGCAATCTTAGGTTATTCGCGAGGTAACTGTATTAACTCTGAAGCGAGCGGCGGCGCTTTCGGTTCAAAACGTACTGACGCTGCTGACTTTCACTGGGGAGCGACTACCCCGCTTGGCGCACCCTCCACCCTCGTATGACGTCACTAGCTCGCCGCGTCACGACCTACGACGTCGTACGCCGCCCGAGGCTCAATACCCCATCCCTTTACATCTCGTGAAATATAACGAGGTGGCTCTCCCAGAGCGTTACGTAAAGTAAAATATAAGAGAGACGAAGCCTACGTCAGCGTAGACGTCATGTTAGGATTGTAAGGAAAAAAAATATTAGTTCGTATGTGAATTTTACCTTTTACGAAATTTTATTTTGTGTGTATTATTTATTCGAATTAGAGGGTCTATAATCCTTATACTATGTATATTATACACGTTGAGAAACATTAAATTATATTCATAGTTACTTATCGTTATTTTCCGTTTTAATCTGCAAATGGAAGCCATGTGATTGCAAGTTCAATGACCATCATTGCGCATGCGTGTTTCCTTTAACTTACCTACTGATGACGTCAACTGTTTGGAAGATAAAATATTGTAGTCCATGTGGGTTATGGTGCCCTGGTACAAGTACCGCCCGTGGAAAATTGTTGCCGCCCTACGGAACACGTTTGGGCGGACTAGGGCGGAGCGGACACTCCTTTATGACTGTTATTTGCCAAACTGAACTGTCCTTATAACGAAACAAATAATGGCATTAAAATGTTTTTATTAATCATAATTCTTTTGAATAATTTGATTTAACCATTTTTTATTTATTTAAGTATTTATGTAATCGGTGTGTACGTACACATTTATCAAAAATATATAGTAGTTAAAGTTTTCTGAAAATAAAAGTAACACTATGTGTGTTACTTTTATTTTCAGAAAATAAAAGTAACACACATAGTAAAAGTAACACACATTAGTTTTAATCATAATCTTATCCTATTTTTCGTAAGTATAAAGTACATAAAAATATAAGATCTACTGAATAAAAGTACCACATACAGAAGACTATGCACAGTGTAACATGGTGTTTAGAAGTATGAAATTCAAAAATAGTTCCTTAAGTAATGTAATTTAGCAATAAAAATTAATTATTGATGGTTCATGCCCGAAATGTGAGATAAAATACGGTGAATTAGGAGTAGTGGCCAGGTCAAACTTTCTGCCCATAAATCATATAGGGAGTAATTTAGGAAGACTTCATTTATTAAGGTCAAATAAAAAGGTTGATACTGAAATGTTTCAGTAATGACTGGTGATTTCAGTATAGTTTATGTTCTCTTGGTAACATTGCAATGTGATCCTGAACCAGCACCGCCTCCGTCTGACGTGTGGGCGGTGAAAATTTCCAAATTTGTACCCTCCCTCTGTAATTTAAGTAAATGATTTTAATAGGTAATATCCGGTTTTAACATATACTCGAATAACGGCTGATAATGAAAATATTTTTACGGATTTATCGGGTTTATTTTTAATTTTAATGTATTACTGTAATGTATTACGTATGGCTTTAGAAATTTTAATTTAAAAAGGAAAAAAAAACATCTATTTATGACTACATCTATAGAAGTTTTTTTAGAAGATCTTTTTAAGCAAATGGTTTGTAAATAAATGTATATGTAAAGTACTGGCTTGATATATTTATCATTTCCATATAAAGGTCTTGCGTATAGAGTGACAACATAAGGCAAAATTGGAGTCTTTGAAACAGGCTAATAACAAACATTCCAATGGTAAAAATGACACACGACGAGAATTGTTAAATTTTAATTCGTAAGTTTTAGCAATGTATCGAGGGCATATTTAATGATATACAAAACTAATATTACTGATAGCCTGTTCTGTTCCTTGGCATAGATACTAAAATGTAAAAAGCGTAGAGTTTAGACTTTATTTTTTCTTTCTAAATTAAATTCGTAGCTTATTAAACCCATTACATACATGTGGTACGATATCTTGAAAATTATGTTATCCTAGTACAATCGACCTCTAAGGCGGTCGCGTTACCCTCGTCGGATAGATTTTATCCCCTCTAAAGGTCAAAGGTAAATGCCAAAGGGTATCATCAACCGGACGCACGAAGACAATTTACATTTATTTTTAGTATATTATTTCGTTATATTTCTTAATCGTTTTTTAAGTTATTGAGATAGTGGTTTTTATAAACTTAAATTTGAATTAATTGTTAGCTTTACGTTGGATTATAAACTTTAAAAAGATAAGTTAAAATTATTCTGGAAGAAATTCCGTACCATTTTTATATCAAATCGAACTATGCAGAGCATTTTATATGTTTCAGTTGATCTTAATGTTTGTGTTCATTTAGAAATATTATGTATGAAATATAATTCGGTAACAACGTAACTTAGAAAACGTAGAACGATTAGCTTATTCGTAGACCCCTCTACGAGTTTGTAAGTAATTTGTACCACATTTCCGTGGGCTCACATATGTCTATTGCCGAATATCAGTTATACCACCTGCTCACCTTTCATGTCTTGAGAGATATGTGCGAATTAAGTTGTTATTTTTTTCATTAAAATGAAAAACATTCTTTTTTTTAATAAAATATCTTAAGAATGAATTTGTATATTTTGTTCCTCTGCCCAATGAAACAAACGTTTTTTTTAATGATTCTCATAAAGCTTACCTACTTTCGCATTTATGTACAAACCAACAACAGACAACCCCTGGGAATAAATAACAACATAGTGAAATTGTGTCTACGGCGTCACCCTTGTATTAGGGCATTATAACAACAAGTAGGGGCGATGAACTTCCATTTAAGATTCAATATTATGACATTTATTTTCATAGAGTTTTTTAAGCTCTTATCAATTACACCTAATAAATGTTTCAGTAAACTAAATATATATATATATATATATATATATATATATATATATATTGAGTTAGCTGTATCTTATCCTTTAAACGAGCAATTCTTGTATATATATATATAATCGGAATCTCAGAAACGGCTCCAGCGATTTTCATGAAATTTAGTATGTGCATAGATTCGAGGGCGAAAAATCGATCTAGCTAGGTTTCATTTTTAGGTTTTCAGGGAATGAAAAATTAATTCGAATTGGTGGTAAATTTCGCCGTCAAGAGGTCATAAAGCTCGGTCGGTAATCGGGCAGCCCCAAAACAGACGGCTGTGGTTCGCGTCACGATTATTACACATTTATTTTTTTACTTTTTTTTCGATTCCAGATCATTGCTTTCTTTATTTTTAATTTTTTGTCGATTTGTTATTTTGTTATTTTTTTCCCTTTTTTTTAAAGTTCTTTCTTTTGTGAAAAACATCAGTTCATATTTTCTTATTATTACGTCGGTAAGATCGAAAAACATTATGCATATTTCATTACTCAGTAATTTGTATCTAAATGTAATTTCCAAAATACACGATTTACCAAAAAACCTCCTCCGGGTACTGTTATTTTAAATTGCATTTTTTTAATACATAAAATAAATTATCTTGATTTCCAGCTGTATTATTAAACGACAGTGATGTAATTTAAGTATGTATTAAAAATATTTTAAAATAAGACTGTGACGATATACATGAGACAATATTTTGTCATTTAGGCATGCACATTCACGTTCATGCACACACATTGTGCTCATACCGTTGGGGTAAATACCCCCGCTTGCTACGTCATAACCTTCATAAGCCCTTCGCCTGATAGTTGGGGGAAACTATTGTCACCCCTTGTGTATCATGCTACCCTATTGACTTGAACTAACTTGCGCGAGGCGTAGCGCTCGGTGCCGCTCTGTCAGTGTCCGTTACTCCTGCCCACTCATGTTGCCCTGGCAAATTCGGAGCTCACCGTTACGTCATCATGAAAATCGTAGGACATGTAAGCGCTACCGTGCAACGCGCTACGCACCGAACTAAACTTGGGGGTACCTTGTAATGAAAGTAAAAAGTTGTGTATTATTTGAAAAAAAAATAATTGTGTATTTATGCGTATAAATTTCAAAACAATTTGTGTATTATGTGAAAGTGAATAAACCAGACATGTAAAAGTGTGTTTCAACGTAATTAAGTAACAAATATTTCCTTAGATTAAAATTTAATTGTCTAAATCATTTTCATTATTTGTGTGTCATAGATTTACTTTGATAAGAAGTACAATTATGTTCGCTTAGAAAATCAGAACATTAATGAAATAAAACTACAATCTACAAAAAACATATAGGCCTCAAATTCAAATACATATACAGATACAAAATATTGTTTAGAATTTAACTTTGCATATAAGTAATTAAAAAAAAAGAACTTGAAATTTAGCTAGTAATAATTCCGTAAAGATAAACTATATAAATTAATGTTATCTACCTATATGATTTGTAATTGGAATTGATAAAAATATTTGTATTGTTTTCGATTGTTTTCGAACTGTTCACACAAACGTTCACAACTATATATAGACTAGCTGCTGCCCGCGACTACGTCTGCGTAGATGGGTGAAAATTTACGGTTCCATGCATGTGTGTATGCTGTATCATAAAAAATAATGACAAAAAATTTTATATAAAAAAAAATTAGTGGTGGACCACCGTTAAAATTAAGGGGTATGAAAAATAAATGTTGTCCGATTCTCCGCCCTGGCCGATATGCACACAAAATTTCACGAAAATCGGTCGAGCCTTTTCGGAGGAGTTCAATTACAAACACCGTGACACGAGAATTTTATATATTAGATTCTATCACTAACTTCGTTCTCTAAAGACCAAGGTATGCTTCAGTGGCGGTTAAAATCTAGAAATAATCTTAGAATTCTGTACGGTGGACACATTTTACTTGTATTCAAAGAAAAAAAAAAGTATGTTGTCCGAGTACATAGATAGCTACATGAATTTATGCCAACGCAGGGTGTTGGTGTGAGGCGTGTGGGTGCGTGTGATTTGTCTAAACATAATATACGCGTACTTAGGGGAATTAAATATAATTGTGTTTTATATTTCGTACTAAATGCAAATATATTCTGTCACTTATTGAGTCGATTGTATGTGTTTCCCATTAAGAAAATTTGGTAGTTTTTTTATCCAAATATACTACCAACGTTAATAATATATGAGTAAGAAAAAAAAAACAATTCAAAGTCTTTTATAATATCTAAAAAATAAAACGTGAATTCTATTAGGAAGACGTATGTTTTTCTGAAGATTGAATAAATTGAATTGAGCAAATAATGTGTAGTGTCCAAATAAGCATGTCTACGACAAAAAGAGACATCAGAGTATTGAAATGCTACGCTTGTAGGGAAAATCTCGTAGCGTAGCTTCGAAATTGAGCACATCCTCCTTTGTCTGCAGCCTTAGTACAATCAACCTCGAGTTCCATCATGGTTTGACGTCATCACTTGAGCGACGAGCGTGACGTCAATACGCCACCATGTTAAATAATACTTCTAAATTGACAATTTTGTAACGTATTTTGTTGCAAAGTGTAATTTTTAAGATAAATGTTTTAGTCATTAAATATTATTAAATGATTTGAGGTAGTAACTGAACTAAAGTCATTTACTGATACATTAAGCTACATGTATCGTTGTATGCTGTATAAGTTCGCGTGTAGTGGTTTGTGTTGCGTCGTGTTACGACCCACACCGTTTTATTGTCCGATCGATAGGAGTCCCGCTTTGACGTCACAGCAATGTATCGATTTTCTCTGGCTATGGCGCCACGTTGTTTCGCTTCTGTATTCCTAGTATCTAAGTATGCCGGGAAAATCGTCTGTTTCAGGAAAATGCTTAAGTCTGATAAGGAAAGCTATCAACTGTTCATGTAAATATATTAAGTGGACACATGGATTGCATAAAAATATTTTTTACTTGATGCAATTGCAAAATACAATTAGGCAGTAGCAAATATTGTAATGAAATAATTCGTGGGAAACTTATTGTTTTCATTTCTTGAATCTCGAGAGGAGCGTATATTGTAAATAAAATTAAATTAACCTTTCTAAAGAAATATTTCTTACTTAACTAGAAAATTACCATCAGTGTCATCACCGTCAATTGAGACTTGTTCATTTCGGATCCCGCCCACGTGTCAAAAACAGATCCCTAGCATTCTGCTCGCTGAATTAATCTGTCCGCTATCTCTTGTCGCGCATAGTCGCCTGGTACTCCCGGTTCATTTTATCCGAAAGATTTATCCCGATACCCGGGTTATCTTTAATCCAATGGAGTTCAGTTGTACACTACTTTTATTGAGCTTAGGTTATATGCAGTGTAACGGTCAAAGTAGTTATTACTTTGAGAATCATAAATATTGTGATGATCTATCACCATATTTCGGTGAAATTGATTTAGATCAAATATCCGGCGTATGGTATGGTGTTGAGAAGATTCCCCATACTAAAGGGGAGTATAAAATCGAACACACTAAGGAGTGTTTTCATATCGACATAAGAGAAGTGCATACAGAGGTGGGTTACTGTTTTTGTAATTTCTTTCCCATCTACATTTAAAAAAAACGTATAGTAGAATTTTCTTAATTGAATAACTAATATTTCTAAACGTATTCTCAACGTTCAAGAGAGATTCTTTTTGAAAAATTTGTTATTTTAAAAGCCACAAATTTTATATACACCTACGTATTACATGGGTATTAATTATGAAATTAATACTCCATTAATGATTTTTTTGCATGTATTCATTATGAAATGCAGTCCAGTATTAAAAATTCTTTTTGAATGACGTTATATCGGAATTTGAAAGAGAACCCTGATCATTAATGTGACAAAATCATAACAAGGCAACCTGCAATGAGGATACGGTCGTTATGGTGTAATTAAAGTCAAAAGGTTAGATTAGCTATGATATAAGTGTGGCGGTAGCTCCGGTTTAATTAATTTCGCCACATTGCAATTGCTCCATAAATACGTCTACCTTAATTAGGAACATCACGTGCATAATCTTAAATCGCATCCACGAAATGAAATTTAGCTTTGTCATCTTCTCTTCGCTCCTTTCTACGATACGCACAACGGACGTTAATTACTGTCCGGATTTAAAACCGATGCATGATTACGATATTGAGGCGTTACTAGGGATGTGGTACTTAAGAGAGTACATATTTCACAAAGAAAACAAAATATTTACAGAAGTGAATCCATACTGCCCTATAGTTCATCTGCGAAAGTTCGAAGACTACGTAGATGGTGGATTGATTAATCGTAACCTAGTATGCACATAGTTAAATTATTATTAACTCTCTTTTGTTCACAACCATTTATAAGTTTAAATTGAAATGATATGGTGATACATACGAATGTATACAAATTGAATACAGACCAAAAGACAACGACAATCTGTACACTTTACTTTTATTCTTTAAGCAGATTATTTATTTATCATATAATTGGCTTTGTTTTCTTCTCCCCTCAGCCTACGCCACCAACGTCCTATCTGCCATTAACTAACTCACCGTACGTGAGTCGCAGTTACGGTCTCCCGGAGCAATATCGTATCCGGCATTTTGTCCTCGAATGGAACGAAGGTCTCTGGAGGGACGAGTACCATATCAAGGTCAATACATCGCATAAAGGATTCTGGCCCACGGACGTGCCTAATGGATGTAAGTTTTAAAGCTACATTAAGTTTATGATTCTTACTGCTCTTGTATAGGTCATCGTAATTTGCTGCCATTATTATGACTTTTGAGTTTATTATTATTTAATTTAAAAATGTAAGTTTTAGAAGGTTCGAATATTTAATTTTTTTATTGAATGCGATACAATCTGTTGCGTTTATTTCTTTTCTAATTTGTGTATAACGCGCAAAGAGAGATTATTGATTAATTTTTGTTGGTAAAAGGTATAAAATTTTTATAGAGTAATAGTAGGTTCAAATATCGCAAGTATGTGTAAATAATGTAATAATTGTCTGAATCTATTGAATTTGTGTAAACAATTAGTTTTGTGTGAAATATGAATATAACTTGGTTCTTGAAGATAACTAGTGATTAAAAGGCGGCAACGAATCTGCAACCCTACTGTTGCAAATGACCATGGGCGGCGGTTATCATACAACAGGTGAACCGCCAGTTCGTTTGCCATTTGGCAAATAAAAAAAATTTAGACAAACATTTATCTATATGTGTATTTGTCTGTGTGTGTGTGTGTGTGTGTATGTCAACCCACATACATATAATAATATCTCGTATCCCCCTGTCATCTTTGTAACAAGCTACAGTGCATATTGATTTATTAATATCACATTATCATAGAGAAGGCGGGAAAGAGACGACCCGAGAGGAACATAACGGAAAAAGATGTTTTATTTTTATAGCTGTTGAGAAAATGTACCGTTTCTTCGGTGGAGTTATACAAGTACTGAAGGTGGCAAAGAATCATTTGGTGTTGAATTTCTGCATGCGGCTGCCGCATTCTCAGCTCTACAGCGTGGTGCTATCCAGGAACGAGAACCAGTTGACTCCAGAAGACCTTGCCGGCATCCATAATATTTTTACTATGAAGCACTTATCCACATCTGCCTTGAAACGTGTGTGCGAAAACTCCGCAGCAGGACTCAAATTAACAGGGCTTTTGCTTCTCTCTACCTGGCTTCTACTGTCCAGGTGTTTGTGTTATTTAAACTAGATACTTATGTAAATAAAGTTTTCATATTACTCAATTATATTGATGAAGAATAAACGATTTTATACAAAATGACTCTTGTTTTACACGTACTTTAGCCCCCCTATGCATCTAATATTATGCACGGTGTATGTCTGCAATTAATATATTACTTAGTTTTTAGGTCAGGTTATAACACACCGGCAAACATTTTTATACAAGAACAGATTAGAAAAGAAGAGAAATATTACAAGCTTGCAGAGGCATGAAGCTACGGATAAATATAATTTTTGCGTTTGAAATTGTATTTTTGCTTTTTATGTAATAATTGTATTTCAAAATTTCAATTATGGAAGCTGTCTTCAGCTCTCAGAAGCAAATTGAAATTGATATGCTTCAAGATACAGTAAGCTAAAGAAATAAAGTAGTAAAGTTAACAATTTTAAAACCTACAGTAGCCCTGGACAATATGATCATCAGTACATCAAACCCCTCCGTATTCAAAAATATTTGATATTATTAATATTGTCCCAGTCTTAGCGCATTATGGTTATACCGTCATCGATTTTGCCTCACTGCATTTCAACATTTAATTTAAGTAAGCAAAGTAAGCATCATACAAAAGTTTTGTATCTTTTGGTTTGGTTCATAAGTCGGCTTTAACAACAATGATGGTATTAGTTGACAACACGAATCTTGTAAGCGCCCCCTGTGTCTCTAACTATCACTACTTCAATTTCTTTAAATTTCAAGCGTATTATTGATATTATTGTGTTTAAACAAAGAGAAAATAGTCCACGTTACAAGTATTTTCGCACTTACTTGGGATCAAATGGAGATCTATTGGGAGTAGTCACTAATTAGATAAGTCACGAGGCATTGTAAATCTGCACCATATTACGATATAATACAAATTTTTATTGTGCTAGGAACGCGTAACAATTTTATCTGTCGAACGAATGGACAGGCACGTTCGTAGTAGATCCATGGCCTCATAGACATGAAGTTGAACATTTTATACTTGAGTGAGATAACTGGGGCCCACTTTTCAAAGGTCGGCCACGCGTAGATACTCAAGGCCTCCGTAGATGTCCGTGGGCGGAGGTAATAACTTAATATCAGGCCTGTTCGCTTGGCAATTTTTCACATAAAATATAAAAGTACGGCCTACGGCCGTGATATCTGTTAGAATGAAATGCATCTGCTCAGGTCTATACAGTAGGGCTCTGAATCATACATTAATACGGCGCCATGCATTGAACACAGCCTGCGGTAATTTGCCAATTGAGTCCTCTGAGTCAACACCGAGTCCCACATTGTTTTCGCAGTTGCGAGTGTCACCATGTATCCAGTGGCGCTGCTCGCAATATTCACCGCAGCAACTCCCCAAGCTCGGGGGCTATGCGGCGAGAGCATACGCTGGTCGCATAGTTTTGACGTGGACGACATATTCGGGCTGTGGTACGGCGTGGGATACGCACAGCACACGCCCGACATGACTAACAAGCCCGATGAAATAGGTTGCGTATCCCTCTACATTACAGACGCCACTTACGAGGTCCGCAATGATTGGCTCAACTGGGCTGTGAGTACGGATGTTTACAAATAGATATAAAAGTTGAATAATATTATTGCCGAGCACATGCATCTGTAGATAATGAAAAAGCCTTGTATAACTTAAGACTTACGTAATTTGTGTTACTTTTAACCTATCACAGGTCCCGAAGAATAACAACAATGACCAGATATGGCGGTCGTATAAAAGCAACCCGTGGTCGGAATATGCTATGTCAGGTTCATGGCTTGACATACCCCTGAAAAGACCCGCAAAAAGAAGCACCAATGAGGAGAGGCGCATAAGAGTACTGTGGGACGAAGACGGGCAGACTATGGAGCAAATATATCTTTACTCTCCAGAGGACCCGGGCATTTGGATCGCAGAGAAATTGCGACCCCTGGAACGAGAAATGAGGTCTAGAGGAATAGGTGTGTTGGTACTCATAAAACGTTCCAACAATTTTTTTTTTCATATTACTCGAACACAAGGTTCAGTTCGGTTTATTTATCGCACTATTTTGTTAACAAATAAATTGCGTAATACATTCTTCGTTTTTCAATATAATATTTAATATCTCAAAGATAGTAACATTGAATTAACTCTCATTTGTTGCAGATATATGGTACCCAGATGATCCACCGCGGCATCCTGAGGTGATACGTGTGTTGAAGGCCAGTCCACATATGCTTTTAATGAATCACTGCTCGGAAACTGGTGACGGTGGTATATTTACTTTGATTCTGAAAAGATCTATTACGAGACTTCAAAGGTGGGATTGGTATAAATACAAACAAGAAATCTACAATTACGATCTACCTAAATTATATCGTTATTCCACTGTTTGCGCAGGATGTATGCCATACAGTTCGACACTGTTTTTAATATTTTGTAATATTGCATTACAATTGTTAAAAAAAGTATTACTTGTAAACTGATCATAACCATTACAGAAAACGTCACTTGCGTTGTTTGTTTTGGCATAAACTGAAAAAGGGTGTTAGGTTTACGTAAAAAAACTATGGTATATTGTATCACATAGAAATAAACTTATATTATAATAGTTCCCAATAAATTTTTATGAATTTTATTTCATTTCATTTCTATACATTTCACCGTCACATGATTTATTCTCTGCCAGCTTGTCAAATGATTATTTTAATTTAAAAATCGTAATTTTCACGTTTTTCTAGCTCGGTAAGTTCTAAAATGTGATAGACGATCACCAAAAGTATGTTATTTTTATAAATAGTACAAATTGTCGTGACTAAAATGTTTGACTTATAACAAAAAGAAAAATTATACTTAAAAAATTGTTGATTTGCTTTAACAAAACGTTTTAAAGCCATAAGTTTCAAAAAAAGCGAGGTAACGATTTTTTTTTTAAATTTGTTTATGGATGGTAATGGTATCTTAGAACGGAGACAGCTGTAGCGTACCTGTTTCCTACCTGTAAAATTGACCCAAAGCGCAGTCTACGCGTAAATCTACGCCAATACTACATTGTAAATAGACTGTATCTATTTAATTTTTTTTTATATATCGCTATTAAATAAATTCAGTCTCTTATAAATTAATTTTAAGTTCAAACTATATACTAACACTGTATTTATTAAAACAACTTTGAACAGAATTTTACCATCAGTAGAAAATATAATAATAATAATATAATAACGTATTGTACGTTTACTTAATTTTTTTTATTTCATTGATTAGGAAAACAAACAGCACTTACATAAAACAAATAGTACAAATTACACACTGATATGTGGGCCAATAAAGTTTTCACCACTAGCTATTACAGTCTTTGCATCAGAAGTATACAATTATAATATCTTATTTTAACGGTATTTAGATTTATAAAAGAAAAATTTTAAACATAAGAAAAAAAGATACAAATACAAAAACTAAAACCTAAATTATTCGAAAAATAACATTTAAATAACATTTAATGGTTAAGATATACAATAAAACGTCAGAGCTTACGATAATTAACAACAAAACTTTATTGCCCATTATGTTAAAAAAACTCGTTGTTAAGTAAATTTTCTGTTTCTAAACGAGGGCAAATAAATTAAAATTATTTCGCTTGGTTCGTTAGCCAATTATTTATTATCAAACAACTCGATTTTAGATCTTAGCACACAACAGTTCATTGGTCTAGACTTCGTGTAACCATTCCATTAGAATAAATCAAAATATAAGTTCGAAGAACTAACGACATGTACACTAAAACAAGGTTTTTTCTAACAGCGTTTTTACTACTAAAGTAATGAATACATTTTCGGATGGATTGGGTTCTTTTTACCGTATAACAAAATAGAGAATATGGATATTCAATTCTTATACTTTATCTTTACTTATAATTTACGGTGGTAGGGCCACGCAGCAGTCTCGGCTGTTGCCGAATGGGCAGCCCCGTCCGGGTAAGTACCACGACCTCACAGAAGACCAGCGTAAAGTGGAAGTATAACAAATACTTTCGCGTTTCGTCTGGTGAGTGAGGTAGCCGGAGCCCAATTTTTAAAAGGTTGTCTACGCATCTGTAACCCTCGGGTGTGGCAGATGTCCATGGGCGGCGGTATTCACTTAAAATCAGGTGAACCGTCTGCTCGTTTGTCAACTTTTCGCATAAAAAAAAATCTTAGTGCAATATTTGTTGATAACACGTTTACAAAAGAAAATCCTGATTTGAACTAAGTGCTCCGATTGAATGAATATATTGGGATCAATTATTAACTATTCATTAATTGTGTCCGATGTACTTACACAATCGACATTGCGGATTGTCAGACGCATAAGTTAGAATCATTGTCTTCTTACTTTGAAGATATGCAGGTTTCCCATATGCAGGTTAATCATTTCATAAATGAGCACTAAATATGGAATTAATCATTTTGTTGGTTAATACCTTCTAGAATTAAAGGCGAGTGCTCGAAAATCGGCACTTATATGGTTATTTTATTAAAAAGATATACACATATCAGGATTCATTTATCTTTTTGCTTTTAATGGTTGAAGAAATGGTTATCAGAGACGAAGTAAGAATAGCTTGGTATAGAAAATGTTCCTATACTTTAAATTAATGAACACAAATTTAAGGTCTGTGGTCAAACTGTGTTATCGTGTGAATTAAACGTTCTTTGATTAGTTTAGGCGTGCTATATAAAAACGAACTGTGGAACTTAAGATACTTAAAATTTTTAAGACGATACTTATCGAATAAACATCAAACAATTTTATTCCCCTATTACTTTCGCGTAATGCTTAGTAAACGAGGCGCTAATACACATTATTATAAGAAGACGATATTCTATTTCATATTATTTGTATTCTCGTTAAACTGTTGTATTTGTAAAAGTCGCCTCAACTAAGTTGTTTTCGAGGATGTGGTGGACGAGTGGCCTCTGATCTCCGACCACGCGAGTAAAGAAGGGTCATGCATTATTACGATAAGAAGGAAGTCCTTTCGCAAGCAAATTATACCAATTACACCATCAAGAAGTAGACCATAGCCGTTAATTAATTTCGTGAATTAAACGCTACACGGCCAGTAGGATTCGAGCGACGTCATTTGTGTTGCTAACGCAAATTATACGAAGTTGGCGACCTTGTGGCCAATACTTCAGTTATTACTTAGTAACATATCTTAAACTCGAAATGCATAGTAATTTGGCAGAACATGGGTTGTTAGAAATCCTAAAATATACGCTGTTAAAATATTATTACAAAATACCAATTTTCTTATGTCTTTGTTTTTAATATTTGAATGAAATCTGTAATTGTCATAGTTGTGACGCCGGATAAGCTTAAAGGCAAATTATTGCACGATAAAATATTTTGTTTGAGATATTTTTTTTTGCCTCTTTTAATGATTTTTTTTTACACGAAGCTGGGCTTGATAACTAATAAATTTAGACCACTAGGAGGCGATGCGACTGCATTAGACATTCGTATGTTAAGTGGCGCTATTTTACTGCCGTTTTTATGCTTCGTTTACGGCAAATATACTTCATGAAAGTAAATATTTAAAAGCTAGAGGTTCCTTTGCTATTGAAATTTCATTAACCTGAGTAAATAAAACTGTCGCCATTTTTTTATTTTATAAATCAAGTACTTACGTTTACAAAGGTTACTGTAAGAGGCAACTAAAAAAAAATCAAAATTCACTCAAAGGGTATATGAGGTTTCTGCTACGGTTAAAATCTGGAACTACAGCATAAAGCGCGACGTAATTAAAATAATTTAAGCAGAACTGTTTACATCGTGATGAAGGTCACAATGTAAAATGTTATGTTTAATTTGAAAATTGCGAAAAGTTTTATTTAATTTTTTTTTATTTATGTGAGAAAGTGGAAAACGAGCTGACGTTTCACCTAATGTTAAGTGATAACCACCGCCCTTGGAAATTTATGACACCCGTAGGGTTGCAGATACGTTGCCATCTTTAAATAACGTGGGCGCCAGCTACCTCACTCACCAGACGAAACGCAGAAATGTAACACTTTACGCTTCTCTTCTGTAAGGTCGTAGTACTTATCCGGACGAGCCTGCCCATTCGTGCGAAAACTGTTGCGTTGCCTTATACCTTAGCCCTTAATGGTCTATATATACATACACAGATAACGTATATGTATACATAGAACATAAATATGTTTTATATGTCAGTTTTATATAAGAATGTTGGAAAATTTGATTATTTCATATAAGGTAGATATAAAATACGCAAATTGTAGGAAGGTAGAGTTAAGAGATAAGTCGCGTAAATAATTAATTACACGGAATCGCTTTTTTATAGCTAAAATGTGAAGAATAAATGCTAATTGTGAATTAAGAAAAAATAATTATCAAATTAAATCAAAGTTCACCACACCAATATTGGTGTGGTGAACTTTGCGGTGCAAGGATACGAGAAAAACATCAAAGCTCATTCTAATAGGATCAATAAACATACAAAAAATAAATTTTTACGATTTTTTTTAACATCAGCACATAAAGCCTTCCAGTCCGGTCCGTGAACACGGTTTCTGTGAAAAATTCGAAAGTTTTGTCTACTATAGACACATTGTGTAGACACAAGAATAGAACTAGAACAATCCTGCTTAAGAAAATTAAAACAAATGAGTTATAGCATTTGTCTCGCGAGCTGCAAGTTGTCAATTGAGTTTAATTAGTTTACATCCCACTCTCATACAGCACGGGGCAGTCGCACACCACTGCCCGCCTCATAACAAACACGCGACATCTCTCCCATCGGAAGACCACTCGGGAACACGGGAAATGTACCGTTCGGTAGCCATTTTGACGGCCTTCGTTGCGTTCACAGAAGGTGCCAGCTACCAACGCTACGATGAAACTACTAGATATCCCAGTTACACCACCATTGCCAATATTTACAACCAGTATCCATACAGGACGGGCAGCTACGGTAGCGACATTGCAACATTTCCGGACGCCGGTAGGTACCCGAACTACAATCTGGGATACTCGACAACCAGGTACAACAGCTACAACACGGGATCGAACGCTTTTATGCAGCCGGGCTACACCACCCCTCAGTATGGGACTAATTACGGGCAAGATTTTACATCGTACGAAGCCCCGTTTATGAAAAACGTAAGGGATTACTGCGTGAACCGGTCACCGCAGACCGGGATATGGGTGGAACATTTGACCGGTATGTGGTACGGCGTGGAATTTATTCAACATTTGGCTGGAGACTCAAGAGTCGATTACGCGAAGACCTGTATCGTCATTCATATTGCGGAGCCACACGATAGGGTAAGTGTTATATTAGCCAAGTATCGTAATTTTAAATATTTCATTTCTATAAAGTAAAGTAACAGCACATATACATATACATGTCCCACAGCTGGGTAAAGGCCTCCTCTGTACAGAGTGTATCAGGGCATATTCCGCCACGCTGCCCCACTGCGGATTGGCGGATTTCACATATCGTTGAAACATTTTTTTTGTTATTATTAGGAAAATATGCAGGACGTCTCACGATGTTTTCCTTCACCACAGAGCACGTGATAAGTCAGTACTAAAAATTAACAATTTCATTGGTGCTGGCTCCGGGGATCGAACTCACGTTGCTCGAGTATATTGAAAAAAAAGGCGTTTGCCCGGACACTGAGCTACCATGGCTCGGCTTGATTTCTATATAGACAACTAGTAAAATAATTTGAGTTAAATGTTAGTGTGCTCTAATGAAATAAATAAACAGAAGATTAAAAAGCATTGAATAGTAAAACTACGCAGCAGTTTCCGCTTTAGCATGAATGTCTTGACACATTCGGGGAAGTACCTACCACGGCCTCACAAGAGATTAGAGCAAAGTTTTAGTTATAATTTTGCATTCCATTTATCGTGTAGGATAACTGAGGCCCGACATTTTACCGGTTGATAGGCAAAAAAAGTAAGACTTGTCACCTTGCTTATAATTTTATATCGACATTTTCTATATCGAACCGACTTTAAACAAGAACAAATTTATTAATATTTAGTCATTCAAGAAAATTCCATTTATTTTTATGAGTCCTAATTAACATAGAAAACTGCGTTCTCTACAATCTTGTATGACTCCAAGACTACGTCAAAGCCCACATCTGTTGTTATTCCGATAAATGTATCCGGGTTGTGGGTTCGAACTAACAAGCAACAAGCATTAGTGTCACCCACAGTTGACTGTTGATTGACTGGTTGATGTCGGGCAGGCGGTTTGTCATAAAAAATGTAGCCATTAAGGACATGACCTACCACCTAGGTGGTATAAAAGCTGGTGAAAAAAGAACTGATATCATTCTATTTATAGGAGTGGCCATTTATTAAAAGATAATGAAGATCTACCTTAGACACTTTACCTACTAGCAAAGTAGAAGATAATTAAATTCATTTAAGCGTAAAATCTTATTGACGTAGGTATACTTACCCATTTAAGTTATCACGTGTTATCAGGAAAATTGGAAATTAACAAATCTTAATAAGCTGATGTCTATATTAAGATATGAATTCAAAGAAGCAACAACAAATTCAGCGAATGGTATCATTAGCATTGAGATGAGTAATGACTTAACGATTGCGATCAATATAAATATTTTCTCGGAATAATGATGTATATGTAGTGCCATTTACCGACATTTCTAGCGATTCCCCGTATCAATTTGAAAGTAAAATACGCAAACATATAATCTTATTTATATTAATTTTTATGGTCATATTCCTGCACTTAAGATGAAACTTTGAATTTTTAGAAAAACGGACTAGCAGTTTATCGCCGCTTCTAGAATTTGAACCTGCGGCCTCTGGGTTAGGCGCCTGACGCTTTCGGCACTGAAATAAACGGTATATCTTCACACCGGCGAAGTCTCAACACGTAAAAACCGTAGAATTTTAAACATAAAGTAAAGTAAAAGTAAGTAAAGTATCAGCCTATATATGTCCCACTACTGCAAATAAATAATAAAGGGAGAAAAAGAGAGTAAAATTAAAAATTAAAAAAGCACGATGAGCGCGCACACAGGCCCTCTAAAAGCGACATGATGAAGGTTAACCAACAATTCATTCATTATGCTTGGGTGTCATGGTAATAGCGTGAAGTAACAATACCATTATACATAACATTACCAATAATATTTTTTGACATTTATCAATAATTTCAAGTTAGTTAAAAAAACCGTTATCAATTGCATTTAATGTCTTTATGCTATAGAAGTGCCTATAACGTCTTACGTGCGTACATAAGTACATATATACTTTTTTTTATAATATTGCCTCTGACCATATGACTGGATAAATTATTTAACTGTTTTGTACGGTTCTCCTTATTCATTCGCTCTCCATTCGTCTCGTACAGAAGCGAACATAGTCTAACAATGGCAATTAGTGATCTTCATTCACCACTTGATCACTGTGGCAATACTGGTAGTTTGTTTCCATAGTATTAAGAACACTCACATATTCCATTATTTAACGATTTCTTATATCTTTGTTTTTTTAATTACACATTGGTATATGGACTATTTATATTTAAAATTGTATTCTCAACGTTACGACCATCCTACAGTCTTCGAAACGTTGGGAAATTTAAATCGTGTAGCAATAAGGTTCATTCGAGAATGTTTTTGATTTTCGATGAATTTTATATTAGTTTAGAGAGGTTTCCACCGGAATCCATTAAAAACAGCCAAGTCCGCGTCGGAACCGCGCACGAAGAGTTCCGTACCCTTATCTATATAACGGCAGAAAAATCAATTCTGGCCCCACTTACACATTTTTCTATTCTGTTTTTTATTGTTATAGCGGTCTGTGATATTTCTGTTTGTGTTAAGTTTGGTGTATGTCAGAAATACATTATCTGTTAAAATTTCAACTGTCTAACTGTATCACGGTTCATGAGTGTTCACGCCTGGTGACAGACGCACAGACAGACAGCGGAGTCTTAGTAATAGTGTTCCGTTTAACCCTTTGGGTACGGAACCCTCAAAATTAAAATAAAAAACAAGTACTGCTAGTGATTAAGCAAATTTATGTCATTAAAGGCAATTAAAGAAACTTATCAAAAATACATATATTTAATTAAGTTGTAAAAGATAATTAGAAGTAGAAATGAAGTAGGTACAGATAGATTTCATTTAAGATTTAAGAACGAACTACAAGTGCTGTTTTTTTTAAATACCTCAATATCTAGTCCATATTAAGTTACGAGAAAGGTTCGTGTCCGATTTAAAATATTAAACTCCGGAATTTTCATAATTTTCATAAATTTTAATTAATGAATGTATAATTAATATTATATTGACTAAGAATGTAAATGAATAATGTGTGTGAATTGATAATAAAGCAGAACAAAAAAATCGTGAATATTATTAAATGCGTTTAGTCTTCTTATTTTTATATATCGTTAGTCATAGTATTTCCTAGGGTCAATGGGAGCTCTAAGCCTACGTAAGGCAGGGGTCAAATGTGATAACATCGCTTCTCGAGTGACTAACAACGCGCCGCCTCGAATCGGCTGCCAGTCGGTAGCAATCGGTTGTGCGCGGGCCGTTTTCGCGGGAACAGCATTTAACATCCGAATCGGACATAATCATAATAGTTAAAAAAATATAAAATAATAACAATACTAAATTCATCGGGTCTTGACGTATGGTTTAAAACAAAATGGAACAATTTAGGCGGGTCCTACTACATTGGCCTTGGTTTCTATTAGTTTTTTCAAATGCTGAAACCTTAGATGTTTCCAATTCGACAAATGATAATAACACGCATGTCGCATGTGTAAGAGAACATGATTACGATGATCTCGACACCAGGACGGTTATGGGTGTATGGAAAGTGGCCGAACTTTATATGCATTTGAGCAAAGAGGGAGTAATCACATATAACAGCTGTCCTATCATCACCATATGGGAAACGGACGTCATTCCTCGGTCTACTTTCGGTGTACGTTCATTTAAATCCTATTTACTATACTTTAATTCAACGTGATATTTTAAATTTTATTGCTTGTAATTTCTGGTAATAGTAGCGAAGAAGTCTGCTTATAAACATAATTTCCATTTTATTTTTGGTTTATAACACGTTAAATTTGATGGACAATAAAAATATTTCGCTGTAAAAGCAAGTTAATAGTAAGGGTACTGTGACGTATCTTGTTATCTTGTTTATATATTGTGCTTTGATAAAACACGGCCTTAAATACCCATCAACAGTTTTATTCATCAACACACCTCCACTATTTGCAATAAAAAGAAACGCTTCGAACGACCTTAGCGTAACAGATCTAAATAATATTGTAAATAATGGTACATATGCAATGTACGATGTCTTACAATTTAAATGGACACCTCGAGAATGTTTCGAGACTCCTTCAATTGAACATTGCCTTGGCATATGTAATTACACATCTGTGTCAATACTACTTACTTTAAAATATACCTAGTTTGTAATATTTTAAAAGATTAATGTTTAATCTATAAAAAATTGAGAATTCCCTCCAATATCGTGTTAATTTATTAGATTGTAGTTTATTTACATGACAAATTCTCTTACTTAAATGAAGGTAGTGATTAATTTTTGAGGTTTTGTTTTGATTAATACATTTAGGTCTGATAACTTAATGTTTGTCGATATCTTACAGCTCTTGTATTTAAATAAAATATCGGTAAATTTTCACAAATATTATGTTTAAAATTATACGTTAAATTATATTACATTGAAATAAATCATTGGACTAGATAAATAGAGAATCACCAATTTTAATATTACTTTGCGTTTTAGAATATTAAACATTGTTCTTTTCATGTATTGTTGTTAATGCATCTTTTCCTGGATAACCTCATTAAGTAAGATATTCATTAAATTATTTTATTTTTTCTGCACGGTGGTGAATAATTTTTTAAACATAAAAAAACAATTAAGATCTTATCAGACTGCAAGTGACAGTCTTGACTAATATTCGAATAACAATCCTCTAGCTAGAACATTATAAAACTAATATCAGATTTCATAGGTATGGGTAAATAGTATTTATTTTCATCGCACTTTTTAAAGCGGAGGCTTTGTATATTGTAAATGTCTAATAAAGGAGACAAGGTAGTATAAATGATAATAAAACTCGATTACCACTGCAAATGAGATTAACATGCCGGAGAGAATATATGGGAACACGTTATCAGACTGGGATCCCCCATCATTGCATTATCCGGACCGAACATCCTACGTCGCAAATCCCCGTTTCCTCTATGTAGTGCGCTAAAATGTGTACGTCTTTGTTATACACAATTGACGTAGTGCGTAAATGGATAAACCGATTTTAACTATAGAAATACATGATATATAAAAATTATAATATATTTAAACGTACTAGTGGTCGCCCAATGATGGAAATTCGACCATAATTATCTAATAAATAAATAACATGATAGTGTGTTCAATGATTTTTTTTAATGTATTTTTATGTATAATTTAAAAAAATATTAGCATTCTGCATTCCTTCTCTGTTTAAAATATAAGTATGGGAAATTTCATATTCCTCCGTCCATGTAATTTTCGTAAAAAGGGGTACAAAGTTTTTGCTTCAAGTATTAATATACATAAATGGGTAAGACACTTCAATATATCCCTCTGTCGGTTTGGATGCCTTGATATTGTTTTGTTATTTTGAATAATAAAAGTCTCAGTACTGACTGAGACTGAGGGAAGCTAATTGTTCCTATATAGGTTTGGTTTCTAAAAAAACGTATAGCCTATTATGGCTGAGGAAAAGTTTCTTCGCAGTTTATATGAAAATTAAAAAACATTTTTTGATAAAGTTTATTTACATTTAACTAAAGTATGTAGGTGCCATTTTGTGCGATAACTTTCTGCCATCTTGTAGGTAGGGACATGATCCCATTGCTATAGAAATTCTAGGGGTTCTGACCAAAAAACCGCGACAAGTGGTTTTGGCAGTCCTCTCGTGATGTGAATCTGACACTGCCTAAAGAATTCTGAAGAGTAGGTACACGGTTCTTTAGGTTTCTTTCAGTAAGCTCATGAGGCACCCAAATATCCCAACTTTTTTGTGTACCCAGCTTTTTTCAAATGCGCCAAAACTGTTTTGTGGTCAATTCCCAGTTCTTCAGCTACATCGTAACTACTGCTATGCCGATCTTGTTCCACTTTTTCAAAAATGGCATCCATTTTATCCGTAACAGGGCGCCCAGAGCAAGGTGCATCTTTGACATCAAAATTTCCGGATTGAAAACGCTTAAACTAAATTTGTGCTACTCTCACAGACACCATAAACATCACAAATTTTTTTCGCGGTTCGAGTTGCATTTTTACCTTTTTGGTAGTAAAATTTTAAAATGTATCGAATTTCTTCATTAGAATCACTATTTTTAACAGTAAAAAAAAAACAAATGAAAATCACACATTTTCCTAATTTGATTTTGTAATTATCTTTTTTAAAATTTAAACTTTTTAATAATACCAAAACCAGCCAGATACAAATGGTATAGCCATAGAGATTATACTATAAGTTCATGCATACTATTTGCGAAAAGAGTTTTTCCTCAACCTAATGTTTACGTAAATATTTTAACTATATTAAATTGCTTCTGCTGTTGCAAAAATGGGCAGGCTCGTGAGGAAAAATTGCCACGGCCAGAGTACCGGCGTGAAGTGGAAGTGTTATACTTCTACGTTTCGACTGGTAATTGAGGTAACCGGGGCCCACTTTATTAAAAGGTGGCAACGCAGCTGCCAAACCGTTTTCCCAAAGGAATTATAGATGTCCATTAATATTATTATTAGACATTGTACCATTAATTACAATTTTCGGAAATATGTAGTAGAGTTAGATCGGATTGGGGTCAAGGGGAAAAAACCTATTATATTTTTCCCTACATGTTAATCATCAGAAATTATCCTAATGGCGCAGCACCCACGTAACTTACGTGTTGAGTCATGGGTGGCATTGGTCGGGTCAATCTGTCTGACCTATTTAATCTAGAATGATCCCGTGTTGCATTAAATTTGGAAAGAACTGAGAATATTTTTTTACGTTGTTAGTACGTAATAACTTACGTGTTATAGTTTGTGTTCACTAAACAATGTTTATATATGTATTTGTCATTTTTATTGAGCTGATTTATAATTATTTTACGATAAACATCTGATTTACTCTTCCATTTTATCGAGTAAGGACTGATCAGATTTTGCAACAAAAATTATCGAATTAAAAGTCATTTAAACACATCTATGTGAAAAGTTTCTTGATAACTGGAGCTTTTCGAGAATAACGATCGCGGAAATTAGTACAGACCTCGTCTAAATGTCTTTACAATTAGATTTAAGGATAGCGAAACATTTTCACATTAATTAATAATTATTTTTATTTTTGTTGTCAATTGTAGCCATCTACAGAGAACCAGCTATTCCACGTGCAGCATATAAACGCCAAATTCAGGCAGGAGTTTAGACACTTACGTCTGCTTTGGAATGAAGCCGGCCAAACCATAGAGTATGCTCTGTACTTTCGAAACGATTCCGCTGGCTACTGGCAGGTTTTCGACGGACAGAATGGTTAGTATAGCGTTTTTTGCACAAAACGGGCCAGTGCTGGTAGTCATATCATCTGACTTGATAGTTAGTAGAGACCTAATCTTAGATGATTAACGTTTAGTAGTACTGTATTCACTCAAAACTTTCGTCACATTTGTTTGTCTTTATCTGTTTAATGTTCGATTTATATGTCACCTGTAAAATTAAAAGTGATATTTACCTCCATGGTGCGGTAACCTCTTATTCTATTAGTCTTAGTCTGAACCCTATATTTGAACCTTAATGTTTTTTTTTTTTTTTTTACGATGGTGAACATATTGCTAACTATAAACTTTATTAATAACATAGCGATGAATTTTGGTGTTTTCGGATTTCTGACGTGCTATCACGTACGCCTGCTGTACAGTAAATGTTATCTTTATTACAATTGAGATTAAATACGATGAAAAAGTATGTTTCGTATTAAGAAGTTTATGACTCAAAGCAAAACATAATTTTTCTCATGAGTTACAATCATCGATGATAGTTGTCCAGGTATTTTTTCGACGTCTACTTTGGCGTCTTTATTGAAATTGTTATGTATTTGTTATTTAAATCAAGGCCACTGGCTCGAACCTTGATTCTGCCCACTTGTATGGCTTCAACGGAAACTTGAGAGGGCAAAGTCAACTTGGGTCTTAGAACCATAGCCACCAAAGAACTGAAGTGTTATTTTTTTTTAAATGTGATTTCTATTGCTGACCAATAATAATAATCAATTCTGATTGATGGCTAAAAATTAAAAGAAAGATAATACATATACAATATGATACTATTTCGCGATTTTTATACGATTCGCTTCTGATTTATGCCTTGACGAAACATTTGTATTGTAGTTCTAATGTATCTGTCACTTTTTAATATTTTATTTTTATTATATAATACCTATTTTTATTTTATTATTGTACTGTGCGGATGTGTTTTGATTACAAATAAAGATTATTAAATTATAATATATATTTAAACGTTTGGATTATATCGCTGTTTGGTGTGAATAGTTTTGTGTTAAAAAAATTCTAAATGAATAAAAGCAAACATTATTTACAGGTACTTTAACTAATCGCCCATCATACCAGCAATTCAGCGGTACAGTTCAAGTGCTTAAGGCCGTCAACGACCATTTACTTTTAAACTTTTGCCAAGAAGGAACGGTCTCGTCACCAGCTCAGCTATACTCTGTGCTCTTCTCTCGCGATCCCGGAAGAATGCCGCGATGGGAACGTGACTCTGTCCACACTCTGCTGCAGAATAAGAAACTATCCGTGGCTTCAAGGAGAATAGTATGTGGAAACAGTGCTGATAGACCATATGGTATGGTGGTCTCGATAATTACATGTCTTTTGGCGTATGCTATAAGTTTAGCGTAATACGCAGTTATCGCTCTGTTTTAGAACCAAATCATTCATTGAATTATTTAGAAGCTCTCGTATCTAGACCACCCAGCGGGTATTGATTTTCTAGAACTGCCGTTACAAAACATAATCAAACGCAGTGCCAAACTGGATATAGAGTATATAAATATTAAACAAGTTAATATATAAAACATAAAAATGGCATTTATTCCAAAAAAAATTATTGGTATATTGATAATGCATTTTAATCCGTCCTATATCGGAAAATAAATAGTGTAGTTATTACTTAGGTAGTTATAACTGTATTTAGAACAATATCTATTATTCGTGCCAAATAATAGATATTGTTCTAAATAGCTTTCTAATAAAACCTTTTCTTGAGCTTTGTCGAAATTTGTTTCGAAAGAATATACAACAGTACAATCGTTGATTAATGAGACTGTATAAGATAAAAGGATAGTAAGACAAAATGGACATCTTAGACTATTGTGAACAAATATTTTAATGAATGTCATATGGAGTTGTTATTATTATCACAATATCCGTTATGTTTATCTACAGTTACTTTTATGTACGTTCATCTAACTACCATTTGTTGTAGACTTTGTTACCAAAGACTTTAAGTAATCTAAAGGAATGTTTATAATTTATAACAAAGAACTATTTATTATTAAATTTTCATTATATGCTATGTAATAAAAATAAATATTTATTATCTATAACTCAGTGTTGTTTTGACAGTGTTTATGACTATGGTGACGTATGCTACTTTGACCTGGATGCAGATCTGAAAAAAACTGTATTCTATTCTTTTTAATTTCCGCAAATATGACCGTGTATCGTCTTATCGGTCATAACTAAATTGGTTAATCATTCGACAACGGCGCTCCCTAAGAGCATTGACCACGCTTTTTTCTTACCTTGATTTCCTATTTTCCCTTCATATTTATCTTCTCACTTCCAATACCTCAGCACAGCCAACATCAAATATCTTCGCCCTAAACGTTCTGTCCTCATCGCTTTGATTTTGATAAAATCTTTCTTTCCTCCAGTCTATCCTTCTATTTAATGAGCGCCCTCTCAAAACCAGAAAAGCAAAGAATCGCTTTGCTTTTAAGAAAATAGTACGCAACTTTTATTTATTTACCACATGAACATGAATATTTACAGGAAATTCCAATTCCTAATTTCCTATTTTTTTTTATGTGAGTAAGTGGCAAACGAGCTGGCGGTTCACCTAATGTTAAGTGATAACCGCCTGCCCATGGACATTTGCCACTCCCGTAGAGTTGCAGATGTGTTGCCACCTCTTACTAATGTGGGCCCCGGCTACCTCACTCACCAGACGAAACGCAGAAGTGAAACACTTCTATTTTACGCCGGTCTTCTGCGAGGTCTCGTGGTACTAACCCTCCCTTAATCCGTACAAAAAGTTAATTTAAAAAATACTTAAGAGTAATTAAATCAGTTTAATTTTGAAATAAAAATAGTAATTTATTGCTTTTTGTTACACTGTTACTAACTATTGGTGTTGTTATTGTTTATGATTACTTTTTTATAGTGTTTTTAATTTCTGTTCATTTATGATTTTCCTATTAGAGGAAACTTAACTGGTATTTGTACAAGCTATTTTTAATAACTTTAAGTATGGTGTACACTCTGTTTCCTAAATAAATAAATAAATGAACCCGGACGGACCTGCCCATTCGTGCAACAGCGAAATCTTGTGGCCCTACCACCGTTATCTAATATTAATATTATTCCACATATATAAACCTATTCCGGGTAAGTACCACGATCTCACAGAAGACCGGCGTAAAGTGGAAGTATGACAAATACGCGTTTCCTCTGGAGAGCGAGGTAGCCGGTGCCCAATTTTCAAAAGGTTGTCAACGCATCTGTAACCCTCGGGTGTAGCAGATGTCGATGGGCGGCGGTATTCACTTACCATCAGGTGAACCGTTTGCTCGTTTGTCAACTTTTCCCATAAAAATAAAAAAAAAACATGGCATTATACCAAGAACGCTAGCTTCATTTCGTCGTTAAATAGTTATATTATTTTTTAATTTACCTTTGAGCAAGAAAAGAACCAGCCCACCAGCCGCGGGGATAAGTCCAGGATGTAAACCACTCAAAAATTTTCTTAAAAAAAAAACGAACTTGTTTATCACTTGGGCCTGTTTTAAGCTCTTATGAAAGTTAAACACAAACTTGCCTATCCTGAGAAGAATCAGTAAAAAAACTCTGTGGTCAATAATTCATTTTTTAATTAGTATAAATTTTATGATAAAATAAAATACAATTATTCCATATTATTAAGTTGGCAGTGTTTACGAGTAAAATATAGAGAACTTTGCATACAACATACATCATGTTACATGTGCAAAGTAATTTATTTAAATTTCATATTTTAATAAATATGTTTATTTATTCATTAAAATTTACTACTTGAAAACACTCATAATACATATTTAATTATGTTTTTACGCATGCACTTATGTTTCAACATACTAAAAAAAATGTGTTTTTATGCACATAAATGTTCAACTGTATAGTCATTTTGTGTGAAAAAATTATAAAAGATCCGATTAAAATTGTAAACGAGATCTTAATTGCCTCTGTGTAACTTGAAAATCTAGTTTTGAAAACGAACGTCGTTACTAAAAAGTAAAATTCCGATATTAACTGTTTTATTGCTTGGTCACATGTTCAGTATCTGATTTCACTTACCTACATTTCACGCATAATATTCGACTAGTTGTCTAATAACAATAATTGCGAATCGTTTAAGTTGCGACGGCCGACGGCTGATGTCTATACATCAAATCAACACTTTCTATAAAGCAAATTGTACTTTATTTTTACGACTCCAAAGAAGCATTCGCAAATTTTCCATTCATTGTAGAAGCAGGCTAAATGCCAGAGGGTCAGCCGATGACGTCACAATCTCGTGGAATGGGATTTAGGGGATGGGGTGGCGTGTTGAGGGCTTCTTTATACGTTCTTTGGTGTGAGCATTACTTAATGAGAACTAAAATTATATTAACGATACTTAGCAAAGGTTTAAAATTTTTTTAATTCATTTAATTCGTTTCTTACATATATTTCTTACAAGTTCAAATGACGTTGAAATTGTCCTTTAAATTGTTTTGTTGATATTCTAAGTTATACATCTTTAGATGTTTAGATTAAAAAGGATATGCTTTAATTTCCATAGTAATATTTATTACGGACGAAACATAATATAGCAATTATAGCATTATGGTTAATGCATTCGCGATAAAATTAAATTAAGATAGTTTTATTGCAGAAATTTCTTTATTATTTATTTTATACAATAGCTTAATAACTTTATAGATTATGTTTGTATAAAATATATTAATTATTTTTTTATAAGACAACTTTTATTCTTCATTTGCAATCACCGGGCAATAGTTTAACAATTTCGTGGGGATTTGAATAAATAATATTGTCGTCATGGTCGAAAGCTAATCCAAAAATATTTTTGATACCTGCAATCTCCTTTAGGGTGCGTTTTTCTTTATCGACCGTATAAATCGCGTGCCTCCCGCAGAAGTAAGCAACAGCTTTGTTATTTATTTCGATGCAACGAAAACTATGAGCCCCCAATATTGAGACGCGATCACTTGTGCCGTTTCTAATCAAGTATAACCCAGTTTTGTTTGTTATGAAAGTGTCGTCGTCTCCGTCTACTGCGTACTGGAGTACCTTTTCATGGATATGCTTTTGACGTACGGCGTTAATTTCAGATTCTTCGTGAACACATTTATACAAACGCTGCTGGGGATACCTAATGAAGTGGAGTTCTCTTTTGAAGAACATATCCCAGATGTTATAGCCATCAATGATCATTTTCGTGTCATTGTGTTCGCTAAGCGATTCCATGTAGATCCCTTGGCTGCCCCCAAAGTATATCTTATTGTTGGTATTATCGATGGCTATAGCGAAACCATTTTCGATTATGCCATGAATATTATGCTCCGTTTGTCCGTTGTCTATATATCCAATATTGAAAAGATCCTCTTCTTCATATCCCACGTTGTAGCTAAAGTAAACTCGATGGTTATGTCGATCGTAGGACAATTGGTATGGACGGTCAATGTTTTTAACGAGAATCTCCTTTCTGTGAAACTTTCCTTCAACATAAATTCCCTCACAACTTTCACTCTTTGCTTTTTCACAAGAATACAAAAAGATGGTGCACAGTATGACAAGGATTTGCATTTTTGCGTCAAGTGTTTTATGCACAATTTGCACACAACAAGGGAGACTTGCATTAGCAAGCGATCTAGATCAGTACCGTGTCTTGTTTCATATAATCAGACTGTAATCGATACGGATCGATTTTGTGGGCGTATGTCCAAAAATAATACGCAGTTTGAAAAGGTTTAGTGTTGAGAGTATGTTTTATTATCAATTTATTTGAACTTAATCTTTTCATAAAAGTAGTAGATTTTTTATGTGAATAGTTGCTAATCGAGCAGGCGGTTCACCTTCATCTGCTACACCCGAGGGTTTGCAGATGCGTTGACAACCCTTTTGAAAATTTTGCTCTGGCTACCACACTCATCAGACGAAACGCGAAAATATTATACTTCGAGTTCGTCGTACTTACCCAGAAGATCCTGCCCATTCGTGCAACTGATCAGCACTCCAGAGATTTTATCTCGTCTAAAAATATGCGTACCGCGCTAAAAGAAGTTTTCACTTCAAAAATACATTCATAAATATCTGTTTTTTTTTCTTTAAATAGATTTGAAAGTTTTCTGTCTACGAAGTTAAAACATTTAGAAAATACTTGCGTTTACATTTTTCTATTTTATCATATCGCCCGATGATTTATCATACTATTGGAAACTACTATTGGAAAACTTCGGTCAGACTACTAGTAGTATTAATAGATTTCCCAGTAGAATTTCTCGTACCCAAAGGGCAAAGCTCTCTGACAGAGGTTAACATTTTGCCCCGCATCAAGGCAAAATGTACCAGGATGTTAGAAACCAGCAGAGATATTCAACGGGAGGGAAAGGATAGAATTTGCAACCTATCTCGCTTTAACTCGAAGGGGGACGCACTCCAACATACTTCACCCCATCCCTCTGTTCTATTAAATCCTCCCGGCGCGATTGACCCTTCTATATTGGAGCGAGACAGCCTGTTGCCTACGTCATAATAAATCGATAAAAATGTCTAGTTTCCTAAGTTCTTACAATATACTTAATATAAATTAATTGTAATATGTGATTGCCATTATTGCACATGTCATTAGTGCGATTAATACTATTATAAAAAGAAAAATTTATCATAGCTAAAATAATAGTTATCAATCGCCAAGCTTTATTTCAACTCCTGTAGTATTCTTCACGCCTAGTATTTTATATTCTTTTTTCATTCAGGGTGGCCATCAATTCTCCCGATATCATCCCCCTTTACACAACAATGACCGAATGGATTTATTTTTAATGGGATGAATGTAGATTTAGAACATTATTTTTTTACTGTACAGGAAAAAGAATGAGAGAAACCAACATTTATAATTTTTTCCATAAAAAGTAGGAATTTTATTTAGTTTTTAAATTATTTTTTTTTTGTTTTTAATAGGAGTTGGTTCGGTAAAATGTTGCTATTTTAACGTTCAAAGAAAAAGTTATAAAAGTTCAGAAGCCAGTGTTCGACGAAGCGCCTGGAAATCGTCAGCAGAGGTCGTTTTAACTAGGAAAGCATAGATATGAGGAAATATTCAGTGATCCGGTCGTACAATGGGGTGGGGGGCGAATATAAGCAAGGAGCTGGACTGGAATGTATTGATCGCTTCATACTTCTGTTCTCCTATTACTTTGTTCCTCACATGAAAAATTTTTTGCTAATCAAAAATGCCAGGTTGTTTTCATTGAAAACTCGTTTAAGACTTAATAATTAATTACTTTATTTGATTCACTGATACAACCATAAAATCTTATGCTAATAATAATTATAATTTAGTAAAAATGACTTTTGGTGCTTTAAAATAATTTAGTTAAACTTCACATGCGCCTGTCGAAGACACTGTCACTGTGCCCCTCACGTAAGTAACACCATCTTTGCAATCACATGCGTCCTGAAATGAAATTATTTCTTTTTATATTATCCATAACAATTATTTTAATACAGAGACTATAGACTTACAACTAGAGTGTATTTCTGTACAAATAAAAATAAGACAAGTTAAAAGCATCTATTACATTTTTAGCCAAATAGGTATTATGTTCTTGATATCAAGTCAATTTTAAAGCGAAAATAGTTGAGAACTCGTAACAAACGGTTGAGAATACAAAAGCTTTTCCAGCTTGAGATTTGGTTATTAGAACATTTCCAGTTCAGGATGTAGACGGGAAAAATATTTTTCAAATATGTATATAACATTCATAAAACATATTTTATGTGTCATATTTAAATAGATTTCATCCTATTATGAAGAAGCCTACCAAGTTATATCTTTTTAGTAACGCTTCGTAGCAAAAATAACGTGAACTACTGTAACGTTCTGATTGACAGAATGATTCTTTGAGTTTCCTTCGCTCGTTAATCACAATAGATTATTATTTTTACTGTTTCGTTGAATTAAAAGTAAGAGGTACAATAAACATTTTTGGTTTTTTTAAGCAAACTAAGAAAAAAAAAGAAAATTTAACAGACATCGGTTATCACTGTTGTTTTTAATTAGAATAAAGTATAGTTCAAATATCAATATATTAAATAATACTCTTTAGAATAAGTGCTATGATTAATTAATACAGTTATTAACCATTTTTAGGTAAAAATATTTTTTTCTGTGAGAAAAATGCGACCGAATATATTTTTTGTGTGCCTAATATGATGATTTACGACGCCAATTTCTTATTATAGGTCCTTAAGGCTTATTGAACAGCTAGGGTGTGGGTAAACGACCCTTCCGACCGGGTTCCCGCCTTAAAGTGGCGGAGGGCCTTAGTAACCGTGGCTTGGTCACCCACGGCGAAGCTAAGAGGAACCCACACTGGGCCGCCCTGTGGTGTAAGGCTGGCCCGAGAAGGCCGCTCCGAGTGGGCTCATTGAGCCCTCTCTAAATCCGTGCTGGAGGGTGCAGGGGACAGGTTGAGGATGCTGGAGGAGGAGCCACTCTCCCTGTCTTCTGCTACCGAGGAGGTGTCGCGGGGGAAGAGGACTGCCGGTATTGCGTTTGGCCGCTCTCCCTATCCTCCGCGACTCGGCGGGGCTGTACCGCTGATGCAGTGGTGGTGGGGCCGCCGGGGGAGAGGATTGTCGGTATTGTCATGCGCCGTTCTCCCTACCCTCCGCGACCAAAACGTGGTAAGCGGCGGAGCCATAGACCAGGTCCACCGCTGGGGGCTGGGACGCTTTTGCTGCTTATTAGCACAGGCTATCCTGGCTCCCATGGCCAGCGAACTCGGGGGAGTTCTTTGGCTATGAAAATGAGGCCGAGTAGGAAGGCGTGTTGGAGCATCCAGGAGCCAATTTACCTGGAGGAGAGGGGAGTTGTTCCCCGGGAGGGGGCTGCTGAGGCGGCCAGCGCTGGCAGGGTCGCGGAAGTGTGCGAAAGCGTGCCCGTGACCCTGCCGACATGCGCCTAGGTGGAACATCGTGGGGGTTTTAGTCGGTGCGAGTCCGACATAACCAGCTCTTGCCCCCGCGGGGCGGGTATGCATGCGTAGGCATTTCCCCCACGTAAACAAAAAAAAAAGGTGTGGGTATACATCTGCCCTGTAGTCTCGGGCTTATGGAATAGGGCTCTGCCTGTCGTAAAAGGGGGCACATAACCCTGTCATGTAAGGTTACAGGGTATCTTTTGAAGATTTCCCCCCCGATACCAAAAAAAGGGTGTGGGTCTACCGTAGACGTGATTAACATGATTTGAGAGGCCCAGGTAAGTTCACAGTTGAAAATATTTGTACATACGAAAATATCTTCACGGGAAGCGCACGCTGGGTTCTGCTCGTAAAAATTCACTTTCTGTAGATTATGCTTAATGATCTCATCAGAAGTTCTTCTATCGTCGTCAAGGGTAATCAACTTGGCTACCAAGCCCTTGTGTTTCTTCTTCACTATCAGATTATCCGAATTGACATTTTTCATTATAGCCGGACTACCGAAAATAGCCTCCTCTAGATATGCGCAGTAATTATCTTTTTCCGTTTGTCCGTCCTCTTCGTGGATATTATTGTTATTATTTTTAATATCGATGGCAGGTTGACAGCAGCGTTGGCTTAGGTTATCTCGCGGTAAATCTTTGTCAGTATCTTTTTCGCTAAGATAGTTTTGGTAAAGCTCGTCGTTATTTTCTTTGCATTTGTTTGTCATTTTACGTAATCTCCGTATTTTGACGTAGGTGTTTGTTAAGTATTGAAATTTGAGAAAATATGTCATAGCTTCTTTTACACTAGCCCAGCCGCTCTTTTTATGTTTTATATGTTTTAGACAGGCGTGTCGGATGTGCGAAGTCCCGTACGAGTTGTAACCTGAAACATGGTTATGTTGTTTTAGCAGTTGCAACTATGCTTTCTTTCTATTAGGATAAAGCAATGATAAACCGTTTTATATGGGAAGCAAAATGTTTCCAACTGCAATTCAAAAGTCATAAAGCCTTCAAATAAGACAAAGAAAAATTCACAGACATGACAAGAGATTTATGGGGAAGAAAGGTTCTCGAGCGGCAGGCCATAAGCATGGTTATATGACCCTGATCTAGATGGAATGGCGACCTGTGCAAATGGAAAGTCGATGAATCCTTCGTGGCAGTCTGTTTGGGAGGCCTACGGTTAGCTGTGGATTAGAACGGGCTGAAATGATGATGATGTTACAAAATAAAAAAATACGCAAAGCTAGCTTTCAGCTAATTTACTAACTGTAAATTAATAAAAAAATAAATGTAAACGGTAAAAAAGGAAAATTGTTATAAACATTACTTAACAGTGTTCCTTGATACAAATTGAACTGAAACACGCAAGCGTTTGAATGTTGCTTGACAATCATAAAAAGCGATACCAGCGCTGCAGACTAAATATCTTTTTGACGGATTTCAAGATTAATGGCTAGAAATAATTTACCGTTTTTCACGTTGCAGTAGCATGGTGTGAGCAACGGTGAATGTTCCGCCACACGGCTTGAGGGGGCGCTGCGTGTCCGGCAGAAGTTGCTGTTCCAAGTGGTGTCCGTGTACGGAATCGAATCTTCCAACGACTCCTCTTCAACCCATTTCGAGGATTCTCTCAGCGAGAAGAATATCAACGTTATGACACCCTAAAAAGCATAGATTCTTGTTAGACTACATTTATATCATAACAGCGTTATTGTTTTCGTATTTCACATTACAAAAATAGGTATTCAGTTCAGTACATATTCGAGTTTTTCTTAATCATACAATCGGTAAAGGTTTGGAAATGCCTTAAAAGATCAAAATAACATTTTATTTTCATTTTCAAAAATAATATTTATATTAACATCATCTATTTGACAAATGATGAGAGAAAAAATTAAAAACCATCATTACCGATTGGCTATAATTATATACATGTATCAAATTATGTAAAAAATCTAACAACATTGTTTAACGTTATTTTATTATGAGCAACTTCTCGTAGGCGCGACTCTTGATGTAAAGTTTGAAATACGAGTCAATTTCTTTATTAACGAAAAACAAAACCGACTTCAAATACTTCGCTCTGTATTAATTTTATAATTAATTTTCAGGAGTTCCAATACTACCCCGAGATCCAATACCAATGAAATTAATATGGGACCACATGAAAAGCACTTGCTTTCAAATAAAAATCGTGCCTTTCAAAAAATCATCAAAATCCGTTCACTCAGTAGGAAACTTTTTATGTAAAAAAAAAATACAGTCTAATTGAGAACTTTGTTCGTTTTTGAAGTTGGTTGAAAAAGGTTTCCCACGATCATTTAATATTAAAGCAAGTATATTCTTGTATCATATTACGGTTAGCATGCGATAATACGTGGTCAGATTCAGTGACCCAATGACTGTGCGCATGCTTATAGGCAAATAATTGCCTCTAAAACCTACTCCCAGGCGCACTCAGAAGACGCAAGAGTACTCTGTCCAACATTACCCCCTTGGAGAAGTCCCGCTCACCATAACGAAACAGGCGGCCGCGCACATGGTTGCGGATAAAGGGAAGCCGTAGCGTTCCGCAAGGGCGCCGCCTAGCGCCGGTCCGAGCACCTCACCCAGGGAGTAGCAACAAGACCAGACGCCGGCTACCGCACTGTACGTCGCCAACGCCTCGGGGCATCCACCCTCGTATCTGTTTATCGATGAAGAAGAAGATATTGTTCAGTTTGTCCATGGGGATCAAACGAGAAGGCGGTGCAATTATAAACGAGAATGCGACTTAAGGTGATGCTTAAAAGTATTTTTTTTAGCTTAGAATCTCTTTTCTCGAAGGTTCCTATGAAGAAATAAGGCGGGTGACAACTGATCCCACAGACTAAATACCGTCATAGGGGAGAGTCCGTTATATAATACTTAGCCCGTCTTCCTAATATCTATTTTCCATTAATATTTCCTAATTTTTAGTCTTTACTAATTGTCTTTTTAATTCCATTACAATGTTTGGTACAGCATTTTTATTTTAAGCATCAGTCTAGAGTAATGATATTGTATAGAACTACTATATCAATGAGAGTATTGTAATAACTTGCAGTTTTACTATTGTAAACCTTTAGTATAAAAGAATATAGCACAAAGCCAAAATACATTCATTAGCAGCCATTAGCGACTTTAAATTAAAATATTGTAAGGTTATTAAAAAGGAAACATACATGTATATAGTTATGTTCAGTATTATATAAAATAAAATGATCTAATATTAGACTTGAAATTAATATACTTACATCGAGCTTGTCAGTACACCTTGGAAAGTAGGTAACAGGGTCAAAGCCACTGAGATTCCTAGTATTGACAGGGCTACGAGATCCAGCCACAGTTGTCTGTATAAAAAATGAAAGCAATCAGACCTATATATTGAAGGAATGTATTGAAACATTTCAGACAATTTTCTTTTGGTTATGCAATTAAATGATTTATGCGCTTCGTGTAGTTTGAATACTCATTTAGTTACAGTTACGTTTAATCTTGACTAAGACTAAGAGGTATATGATTTAACAAGACAGATTTAAAAATAGGAGAAGGCAAGTACTATTGGAGACTATTTCACTAGTGTTAGTATTTTTTTATGATTTCTATTGCTTGGCAAAGACCGCTTATATACAGGGGGTACCAGAACAATAAGGAAGTAAAGACTATTTTTATAATTTCGTGAATACTACATCCAGAACAGTGATAATTCGGCGCTGAGCGATAAATATTGCTCATCGACTTTTGGAAAGAGAGATTTGGTTAATTTAGGGTTCGTAGTCACTCGTAGCAGAGATAGAGATAGGTATCTCTGCCTCACACTGCTACAACAGATTTGAGGCCCTCCACAGTTGGCCGGGCCACGCATGTGCTCATGCGTGCCTTAGCTAAGGAACCGAGTACTATATATTATTTGACTTACCGAGATAGACCTGGTATAAACGGACATGGTCCGAGAAGTAGCAATCCAATAGTGGAGAGAAACAATCCCCAAACCATCATACACCAATGATTATGTACTCTGAAAATAACATAAAACAAAAGACTAATCTTTTTAAACAGAAATATTTATTCTTTGAACAGTAATATTTTCACTAACTTCAAATATTAAATATTTATTTAAACAATGCGTTTGAACTGCATCGGAAGTATTAAAAATATTAACATTAAAAAGTATTGTTGAAGTTATATATACTTCTTTAGGCGCGTTATGAAAAAATTATGAGAGTGAAATTTTAAGATGTAACTCAAAAGTCACACCTTTGAAGCTGCCCGATACACCGCTAGATGGCAGCATATTCTAAATCACAGTCGCCCGTTACAGTCCTCTTTAAAGAATGTAGATGGCGCTTTCATAATTTTGCTCTACATTTGTATGCATAAGTATATTATATCTAAATAAACTGGAGTTCACTGTTTTGCTAAGGTCAGTTTTTGAAACGATGTTTTGATTTATTTTTATTCAACTTGTTTTTCTTCTGTTACGCCAAAGAAGTATAACTTCTTACGTGCGTACATAAGTACAAACAAACTTTTTTTAAAATTTTTAACGGGATCTAGACGTCGGAGGCTCGTCGAATCCTAATGGTTTGCAGAAATGAGTTTCAGTTTTATGACTTTTACATACAATATTACTACCTCATTTGTGCCTGGTGTACTACAAATTCAACCTGTCCCGCTTGACCAGAAAGAATTCGAGTGACACCAGATGAGAAATAGCTTTTTCTATCGATCCCTATAGTTAAAATTTCGAAGCATTCTAAATTCTCTTATTTATGCGACTATTACGCATTTTAATAGGATCGTGTAATCGCGGTTCTTAAAATAAAAATAATAGTAAATAAGTACCTGTCTGCAACCCATCCCCAAATTGGACTAAAAATTCCATACAGACTAGAGAATAGCAGAAAAATTAGGCCGATTTGCTTAGTGGACAGACCGAACTGCCGTAAATGTGGCTCCAGCGTTGGATCCAAGAAGGCCCACGTGTTAGAAACAATAACTATCACCAGGCCTGTTATAATTATCGATGGTATCCTGAACAAACGCAGAATAGATGCTGTTTTCGAGCCGGACACATATTCTGCAAGTAAAGTTTTTTAATCAATAAATTCAAAATACTTGTTTATGCATTTTCACATAAATGGTTGGTAATGTACAACAATTTTTTTTCACCCAATCGGTTAAGTAGTTTTTCGAAATACTATTGGGTCAAATGGTTCTAAAATTGGTTCTTCGTATTTCGGATTGTACGGACCGTCCATAAACGCTTAGCTTTTTTTTTACTTTCGCTTTTATATACCTACATATGTATACGTTGTCGGTTATGAAGATAGTATTGTCACCGTTATTTTTTAACATATAAGTTTGGTTTTAGGCGTAAAGAATTAATTCTACCTGTCATTCACGTTGAGGTTTGGAGATTATATAGGGGCAACATATTATATGATCCATTCAAAACTGTCGAACGCCCAATGTCCAATGCGTTGTTTCAATGTAACGTACTATGTCCATGCAAATGTTGTTGTCCATTGTAAATAATTAAATCTATTCAACACTCACCTTCACAATCTGAAAGCAGGTAGAAGTTAATCGGCACCGTTAGAACCATGACAACGCCAAGACTGTAAAATGGTACACCGAATCCCCCGATCTACCTGGAACACGTCATTTACATAAATAATTTTTCTGATTACATAATAAAGTACAAGTAAACAAAAGTAAAGGTTATAAATATACTCGACTAATTTATGAAACTTCAAAATTTATGCAGCCTTTGTCAGGTTTTTCTTCTATTTTTTTGAATGAATACGAATCTTAAATTGCATGTGTTATAAAACTGAATCGAGAGAGGGGCGAAGAGCGAGCTAAGTGTATACAGCCGCCCAAGGAGATCTACAATACCTGATGGCTTGCAGACGCATTACATTATAAACCTTTAAAAAAGTGGGCTCCGGTTACGGGTTACCTCACTCGACCGAAGAAACGCGAAAATTACTTCCACTTCAGGACGGTGTTCTGTGAGGCCGTGGTAAGTACCAGGTAATTTTTGACGGATGTTAAAACCGTTAACTACTTAACTATTTTAAATGGTACTTATATTGGTGTCAAAGTTTACTACTGTATTTCGATATATATGCACGCGGTAAAGCTGATACACAAAGCTCATATATAATTTTTTATGAGATATGAGCTTTGTATATCGTGTAGTATTTGTCGATCGAGCGTGTGTCATAGATATTCGTAAAATACGGCTGAAGCCACGGTTAAAAGCGAATGTAATATTATTTTGTGTGGGGGTAACAGGTCTCAAGCATGTGTGCTGGTTCAAATTTGCCAAGCAAATGCCTGGTTCATACCGAGTATAGAAGACCGCCGATGGCGGGCCCCACGGACATGCCAAGGCCGACGAACGTCTCGAGGATGCCTAGCACGGTGCCAATGGTGTCGGGGAACGCGTTTACCACGAACACGTAACTGGCGGTAGAGTAAGCGCTCGCACCTAGAGCCTCCATACCACGGACTACGAAGCATAATATCGTAAAGCTCAATGTGTCCTCAACCAAATTCAGTGTTCTGAAATGAATAGCAAAGCACCTTTCAAACTTTTGCTTATTTTTATGAGACTCGTAAAATTATATTATGAACTATAAGGTGATGCAAATGATGTGTGCGGTATTGTGGTCTTAGTTCTTTGTGTTATGCGACTAAAACATTAAATATAATGGTATTTTGTATCGACTTGTGACAATCAAGTCAAATAAATAATTTTAGTAATGAAATAATTTTTATATTTTTATAAAATGAATGAACGAAAAGAAGGTCACCCTACTTCACCTAACTTCTTTTTAATCAGCCATCAGCTAACCAATCTCTAGAATTAATCACGTTGTTACAATATCATACGACCCTAGCTAAAATGTAACAAACATAGAATATTTTGAACAAAGATGACTATTAACAAAATATTCAGTCATTTGATATGAACAAAAATTCATCTTTTTAATTATTGATCTACTTCTACTCTCTACTCTAATACTGCCAAATAAAAATATTGTTCACACTCTTCAATTCAAATACACTTTAGTTACATTCGATTGAAATTATTTATATCCTACAACTAATGGTCTGTTCCGTAGTGAATCTGTAAAGCAGTATTTAAGTTTTTGAAGGCAGATCACTCATTTCCCTTAATAGATTGTATGAAGTATGGTGACATTGATCCTTGAAATAGAATTCAGTGCTACGATTGTAGCTGGCTACGCTATAGGTGACGAAGCGAGTAAAGTCGAGTCATGACTGCATCCGTACAATATAGTTCCTTATTGAAGGTTATAAATATACTTGACTAATATAATACCTCGAAGAATATTGTAATTCTGTTAGTTTTTTATAATTTTTTTATCAAGAGCGTTACAATATATTTTTTTAATATTGACGTTCACAAAGATCAAATGGTATTCCAGATTTGATCAATAATTACAACACATAATATAAGGTAATATTGTATTATATATATGGTAAGTAGGTAGGTTATATCCTCTGCCAGGTAGGCCCGGACAGCGGATATAAACAGGAAGTAAGTGAATTAAAGGGAGACTTCGGTTCCCGAGATTCGGGAGATTCACAACGGGCTGAGGTTAGCCATAGAGCGGGTTTTTATGGGTATTCCTGGGAACTTGGTAACTTTTGAAGATTCTAAGAAGATAATTCTTTTATCACCATAACAAATGGATAACCGGTTGGCACAAAAATATACTTAAACTTATAAGAAATACATCTGAGACTAGAGCAGCAAGGCTGAGGCAAGGTTGAGACCATGAGTAACGTAACATGATTATAGGGAAGACGAAGTCCAGGTGTCATAAATACTTCAAAGGGCAGGTGAATGGCATAGAGGTGTCGCAACCTAATCTGCTTACTGCACACATGTATAAAATTACATTACTGTAACACAATCTTGCGTGCAATTGTAAAAATTATTTGCGGTCGACGCTAATACACGATGGCCAAAACAATGGACTTCTAATGTATTTTAATTGTAAAATTAAAGCTTATGCCATAATAAAAAATTTCTCATGATCTTCAAATGATTGAAAATATCCAAAGAGTCTTCACGGGACTTGAAATATTACTTGCGGAATATCATACCGATTTGCATGATGAGATTTTGGGTTTGCATGTTCCTAATACGCGGTTCTGCAATTCACATTTATACCGTACATTTGTACATTTATACCGTTCCCAAATAAAGATTATGATTATTAATGTTTTTACTTAAAAATACGCACAGAGCCGTATCAGAACAGTGTCCGAGCGCACAACTTTAATTCAATATACTCGATAAAGAGTTCGATGCCCAGTGCCGGCACTAATTGAAAATGTTAATTTGAAGTGTAAAATGATCACGTGTTCAGTGGTGAAGAAAAACATCTTGAAGAAACCAATATATTTTCGAAATAATAACAAAAAAATATTTCGAAGATATTTGAAGTAGTGTAGATCTGTAGTGGCACTACAGATTGACGGACTTCACATATCTTCGATACATATCATCACATATCTTCGATCCACTACTAGTGGGCCGCGTGATGGAATATGCCCTTATACCATCTGTACAGAGGAGGCATTTGCCCAGCAGTGGGACATGTATATGCTGTTACTTTTACTTAAAAATACAATTATCGGCATTGCCGCCAAATTCGAACTCACCCAAATAAAACATTACAAACGCCGGCGACGAATATCCCCGCAGTGAACATAAATTTCGCGCCCATCACTGGCAGCTGTAAATAGTTTAAAATTATATTTTACAAAAATGAACTATTTATTCTGCCTTGCTACAACAAATTTCAACCATATTTTTTTTTTATATAAAACGTTTCATTATCAATAGTTCGCCATTTCAATATTTGTCATGACTGAACTTGTAACTATTTGAGAGTTGACAAGTAAAACTACGCCATTAATGAAAATGGAATGCCTCAACAACGTATCGAAATTATTAAAATTCTCTACCAAAATTCTGAAAATATCGCTTACACACTTCGCAAAGCCATAGAGCATTTCTGTATCGTCTCGACGGGCAATTGTGATTCTGGTCGAAAAACTTACGCTGTCAAGCGTAGCCGTGACGGCCATTTGGCTGATATTGTTTTCCATTATTAATGACATATCTTCCTGTTTACAATTAAATAAACATCCGATGACTTCGTTTAAAAGTACTCGTCTTTTCTTACATATGAAAATGAAACCTCCATCCATTAAGGGATCCATGAAAATCCATTAAGGGATGAGTAAATCTAATAAGTCTTATATTAAAACATAGGTACTGAAATGGTAGATTGTTACCTATCTATATATATATATAAAAGGGACTCCGTGACGTAGTTTTTACGGTATTGGCTTCAGATTCGGGGATCGTAGGTTCGATTCCCACACAGGAAAACTATTTGTGTGACCCATAGATAATTGATTCGGATTGTCAAAATGTTTGTCCACGTGAAATTTATGTTTGTAAAACGTCCTTATAGCACAGGATAATGTTATCCTAAAGTAAGAGCAAAAAAATGTATGTGAGTATGTTCACCTAAATTGATATGAAACTTAGCACATACATACATATATAAAGGGCGAAATGATCACTCCGACGAACATAGTTACGTTAGTGCCACATAGATTTCGCTGGTGGCCGTGATTTTATCTTTTGAACCATAGGCATAGGTCGTATCGATATACGGTTACACGTAAGAGCACCGGGCATCAGCTAGTTGTTTCATAAATTAAAAGAAAAAAATCTGTTTTCTATTAAAATTAAGATATTTAACTACCAACCTTCCCAAAGCTTAATCAGAAACTTTGATAATAAAATCAAGTGTGGTACCCATACAATCAGAAATGAACTTGTCAGTTATGTCTTCGTATAGATAACATGTAGATTTATCGTTGCAACAAATGTATAACATATATTTTTAGTATACTCTGCTGCGAAGTTACTAGGCACAGGGGTGTGTCTAGATACACTTTCGCCCTTTGTTATTTCAATAAGTAATATAACGCTATAAGTAATAGCACGATATAACAATGTAACATGATTTGTAGACGTATCGGTATATATTATTTTCTTTGTTCTTCAAAACAACATGGAAACCCCAATAAGACGACAGTATGGTGAAACTTATAACAATAACTAGGTTATTGTTATGACTTATTGATGATTTTAAAAAAACCTACAATAATGTTTAGTTTGTAATTAAGAAAAAATATGCCTTTTTTATCACGTTTTAAATGATTTTTTTAAAATAATTTACAATATAACATCGGTACACTACAGTACAGAATATCGAATTACTATTGCATACAGCGTTGTATTAATCAGCGCTTATCACAAAGCTGCCATTTCTATAATAAGCTTTAAGATAAGAGTAAATTATGTTTATTATAGTGGTTAAATATTCGATGACGCTTACGACTACATTGGATTTACGTTCGTCAAAACATCAATGACGTTGGATTTGCCCAAAAGAGTGCGCGGCTGTAGTGTTAGATTTGCTGATAAGAATTTTGTTACCTTTTCAGAAATGCTGCAGTAATTCATGTATTATTTATTACACGTTTTCTCCGTTCGCATACGGCATGTTCATAAATACGGATAATTTAAAGTTTTTTTCACAAATTTAACCATTAATTAAAATTAAGTTAAGAAAGAAAATTTGATATCTAACTTCCGTTTGTGTTTTCCTTTTAGGTTGAACTATGAAGGCCGTTGCGTTTAGTTATAGTAAAACTAATTATTATCTACTATGATTCGTGTCTTACGATAAATCAATATACATTATTAGCCATAGACGACAACGTGAACAGCTAGATTACACAGTTCCGGTGCTATGTACGTTTTTGTCGGTAAATTATTTTTGTCGGATAACATAGTTTTCTTCCGACGGCACTATTTTTTTTTATGTTAGAAGGTGGTAAAAAGATAATCGCCATCCATAGACAACAACCCATAGTATTGCAGATGCGTTGTCACCTTTTAATAAAGCGGGCCCCGGTTAAATCACTCACCAGACGAAACGCAGAAGTGTAACACTTTCATTTCACGCCGGTCTTCTGTGAGGTCGTGGTACTTCCCCGGACGGACCTGCCCATTCGTGCAGCCGTGAAGACAATTGCGTGGCCCTATCACATTTAAAATATGTACATATTTCAAAGACCCATGAGCTCATCTGAATTGGAGGATTATTGGCCCAAACAGATACCAGAAACCTATATCGAAAACTGGCATTTATTGCACACCTATGTACATATCGTGCCTTTGAAATGTTAATATAACAGCAAATCTAATCTAATTGTACTCGAATAAAATGGTGAAGGGATTGCGAAAATAGGATAGGCTGTTAGGTTTCTACTCGTGAGAGCCTGCACAAAATGGCTTCCTATAGAATGGTAGCATTGTACATTAATTCCTAACATCGTTCTTTTTATTACATGAAAGATTACAAATGTAAAATATTTAGGTTACTAGGTACTACATTAGTAAGTCCATTGGCTATAATTTAACTCATTTTAACATAGCACGGGCAAAGCCCTAAACATTCATCATGTTTTTCTATCTTATATATTCAATATCCACTTTTACTCCATTTTCATGTTTACTAGTAGCGTTTGAATCTCATGCTTCCAATTCAAGTCCCTATCTTTGTGGCCATGGTACTTTCCTGAACGAGCCTGTCCCTGAATGCGACAGGAGATGGAGAAGCTGTTAAAAAATCGGATGTGCAAAATACGAGGGGAGTTATAGAACTTACCAAAAACTTAAATTTAGGATTATTTTTTACTTTAGAGCTAATCTACAATTAAAATTAAATGTAAATGTAAGTTTAATTGTCGAAAACTTTTCGAAGCTACCGTATTCAAACATGACATTAACTCTAAAACTACCTGGTCGGGGGGTTTACTTAGCAGATGCAGGTTGCGCTGATTATAAGAATTTGGACAATTTGTCTACACACATCAACCAGACAATTTTTTTTATTAATGTAAAACAAAACCGATTTCAAATATCTCTCTCTGAATTCCTTTTATAATTGATTTTAAGGAGTTCTCTAAGTATCTCCGGAGCCCTAGATCCGGTACTAATGAAATTATGGGAAGTTACTACTATGGGAAGCACCAGCTTTCAAATAAAAAAATAATCATTAAAATCGGTTTTCTCAGTCGAAAGTTAAGAGATAGCAAACATAAAAAAATACAGTTGAATTGACAGCCTCCTCCTTTTTTAAAGTCGGTTAAAACAGTCTAAGCTACATAAACTAATATTTCGACGCAACGGTGTTCGGTGGTTATCAGAACAAAATTAATATATCTTACTAGCTGACTCTGCAAACATTGTTTTGCCATATAAATTATTTCTAGAGGAATCAGAATGCGTTCAAAAATTGTTTGACAGGTTGACAGGTACAGTGTGTATGGGAAAATGAAATTGTTGCTATTTCGATTTTCCATGCAATTTTTCCATAATTTCTCATCGTTTAAACCTTCCCTGGACTGCCACAAATATTTCAAAACCAAAATTTGCCAAATCGGTCCAAGCGATCTCGAGTTTTAGCGAGACTAACGAACAGCAATCCATTTTTATATATAAGATAATATAACATACTTGTATAATTATTCTGTGCGTGCGTATGTAACTCCTCCTAAACGGCTGGACCGATTTTAATGAAAATTTTGGTCTCTTCAAGTGATCTCTCAGTGGATTCGGTTTAGATTCGCTATTCGGTCCACTACATTTTTTTTATTTATAAGTTGTCGGATATAAGTCGTGTGTACAGGACAACGTCTGTCGGGTCCGCTAGTTTTATATAAATGAAAAGATTAATAAATTGAAAAGCGATATAATTTTTTGAGTGATTTTTTTACTTCGATTTCCATTACGGATCTTGTCGTATATAAGGTTTTGTACTATTTAAATTATTTAACATTTATAGTCAATTATTTTAATAAAAATATCACGATATTTTGTCGTAGCTTACATTTTTTGATTTTATTATATATATGATTTAATAAAATAACATTCAAAGATTTTGACATTTTACTAGTTACTTTCTAACTAGCATTCACAAAAAGGCTGCAAACTAAGAGAAAACGTACTTACGAATTTCCCAAAAAACGGAGAGGTGATGAACATCACCACTGCATAGAAGCTGAATACCATTCCGCACATGGTGTCGGTCATCCCTTTCGCGCTGGCCTCCCTCGGGAAGAATGGTGCCATTATGCTCATAGAGCAGAAGCTCATGAAGTCGACGAGGGCGAGCGATATCAGGGTTAGCTTCTGACGGCGGGACAAGAGGCACACCGCGCCCGGCCTGGGCCTGGTCTGTGTGCGCACTAATCTGTGCAATGAACTTTGCAATTGGCACAAGTACTTCTGTTATTGTGGAGAAAAATTCTGTTCGATGATTTTGTACATTTCGTGAATCGAATGCGAATCATTATTCGCTTATTTTTATACCTTATTAACAGGTCGAAATCGAAGAATGAGTAGGTTTCTAAGCTAGTGCGTTTACCACCTAATATAATATTATATTATATTAGGTGGTATTATATTATACAGCTTACCATGAAGTGGTAAAAAGGTGATAGTAAGGTAGTGGTAAAAATTAAACAATGTGGATTCATGTTAAAATTGTAATCTTAGCTATCTCTTTACAACTTGGGAATATTCACAGTACCTAACATAGGTAATGGTTCTATGTATTTTGATACTTTCTTTGATTACTTATTTTTTTATTATATAATATTATACTAATTTTTTTGTAAACGGTGTTTGTGATCGATTAATAAAAAATCATCGAATCAAAGAATCGATAAAGATTTTTCTATTCTATTCTATTACAAAGCTTACCCAAAGTCCGAATATTTAAAAGGATGACTTTAAAATATTGTACACTTAGAATTGAGGTCAAAACTACTTTATTTTTAAATAGCTACTGGACTGAAGCGTGGCCGTTGCGCCAAGTACTTGTTGTGGTAAACGTGAAATTTTTTACGATACCGCGTACTATTAGCACCAGTTATCTCAGCTTACTGATAAAATCGATGGATACTTCATACTCATAGTAGTACTACATAATAACACGCGTAATCTCTATATTGGTTGATACTGTCAAGTCTAAACAAAAGTTTATTATGTTTTTTGCTGTTGAGATTTTTAACGAATTAAATCTTGCAAATGGTAAAACTAGTGTATAATTATAATATTAATCGGTTAATTTAACGCTTAAATGTGGGTAGGGGTAAAAATTAACAAGACTTTGGAAAATTCGTAATTCACGACACGTTGAACTTACCGTTCCCTCAGTATCCTGATTTCAGAGGTCCCGTCTTCTGGGGGCCCCCCCGACCATGAATGCGCTCGGCGCATCCTCCCTGAGTCAGGCAACGAGCACCGCCCACCCCACGTGGCAGCCAACTCCTCGGCGTGCGTCGAAGTCTTCACCAACTTACTATCGAAGACTATCGTCTCACACGACGTCATCGCACTATTACCATAATTACTATCGACGCTAGTCCTGCTAACGGCTGGATTCGATCCCGGCTGCAGTTTCGAGCTTTCGTCACAGCCGCCCATAACGTTATGTTTTTTCTATTAAATAACATGTATTACAAACGAGCTATTTGCTATTTTTGCTGGTTGCGGACACTGTACGCAGCTTATACAAGTTCACTTCTTTAGTTACAGTGGTTAATGTAAAATGTGGACACATTAATTCACTATCGCCGTGTCAATATACCGAGCGGCGGCTCCCGACTGGACAATTGTGTGTCGAACTACCTACCTAACCGTATCAATAATTATCCGTATCTTATCGGGTGTAAATAAAAACTTCCGTGGGGATATGGCACACTTGTTCGTTTCCAGGGTTCGGTGCGATTATATTTTCATAAGTAAATATTGAGGTCGTTGGTTACTTATGAATATTGTGAATGGAAAATTCTATGAACTATAACGTAATTATTAATATAGTTTAAAATGTTTTTCATATTATCTATTTTTTACTTATTATTGCCAGTGTTTTTGTGTGAATAATAGTTGAAAGAGGTTAACACACTAATTTTACAAGTCAGTTTGTTTGTAAATCCTTTTATAACTCCAGTAAAAGTACTAAGGGTTAATGGGCTGCATGGGATTACTTAAGTCATAATACTCTGTTCGCCACTTAAATCCAGACGTAGTGCAACACTACAGGGACATCAATCGGATTATTAAAGTATGTTAATGTAAATACGGCGCTTTTTGTGTTAAACAGTTTTTTGATTCGCATGGGAAAGCTTTTGATGAAATATTTCATGAAGTTTTTTGCTCGAGAAATTAATAAAAATATTTACAACATTAAAAATAACTAAATTACATGTTATCTAATAAACCACGTGCGTGCAACATGGTGCCAAGAATTCTGCATTTCCTCGCTGAATACTTGTGACAAAAGATTGTCACCAGTCGCGGCGATAAATATCCATGGATTTAAAGTTTCAATAGCAAATAGTACAAATATATAATCTGAACAAAGAGATTCATATTTCTACCACATATTTCAGCTGCCTATGACGCTGCCCTGGCCCTGACCGAAGCACCACTTAGATGAAATGCAGTCAAAGTGTGTACACAAGTAGCATTCCAAAGGATGGTTTTGGCCCCTTTGCCCTTTTGGGAGAGATCCCACGATATCAAAGTCTGGCCTCTTGTGACCGTCGCGTAAAATGCCACAAAGCTCTACAATAGAAGGAACGTTGATGGAAACAGGAGCCCTATAAGTGGCCAACATTTTTTTCTACTGTTTTTGGTAGTAAACTTTCGTTGGAGCAGAAAGGCAGCCAAGACATCCTTGCCTCCTTGGCATAGGAAAGGTCCGAATTATAATTTAGGAGAATATTGTTACATAGATTATTTACGCTATACACAGAATTAAGACAAGCAGGAAGCGACACTAGAAATTTTCCTTACACCAAATTCTAAATATACATTATTAATAATAATAAGCTTACGTATAATAGAGCCACAATGGTTTTTAGAACGGACTAGTTAGAAACATTGCCCATTTGTCATTTGTTTTCGTGAATTGGCGGCAATTCCAAGTTGTTAACAATGAATGAATTTCATGACGCCGTGACGTAGTTGCCAAGGTATTGGCTTGGGCATCGGGGATTCTGGATTAGATTCCCACAAAGGACAATCGGTTGCTCCGATAATAACCTGACCTTAAAAATTTCCTCCCATAATACTTCCTTTTACTCCAAATCCTTTTCTGTCGAATATTATAATATATATATATATATATATATATATATGTGGAAAAAAGCCATTTAACGGAAATTTATTTTTAATTAAATTTATTTTTGCTCGCCGGACTTGAAGCGGTAAGGAGTTCCAAAGCCTGACCGCTTCGAAATAAATAAATAAATATATATATATTTATATATTTATTTATTTATTTCTTTTCTTCATTTATTTGTGTATTCTTCAGTTATCTATTATACCTATATTTACAGCAGCGTATACCTCAAACCCTTCTCACTGATTATTGTATCCTCAGTAACATGGTTGTCTGGAAGAAATCGCTTCTAAGCGATAAGGCCGCCAATTGTACCTTTATGTAGTTGTTTGTTACTTTATATTTATATATATTTATTTATATCATATTTATGTTTATATATATTATATTTCGGACACGTTCGTTTCGTTTCGTTCGTTTTCTAGTCCCAAACTAAGCAACGTTTGTACTATGGGTACTAGAAAACTGATAAACATACTTAAACAAACTTTTCTTTTTTAAATAAATACATATTATACATATATAAACACCCAGACAGTGGAAAAATACCATATTCAACACACAATATTTTTCCCGTAGTGGGAATCGAACCCACACGGCGCACCCTGTGCCGCAAGAGGCAGGTTCACTACTCCCCACACCAATCGGGTCGCCATCTTTACATTATACAACATATATAACTTAATAATAAGAAAGAGATAGAAGTCTTTAGAATTGCAAACTAATTACAGCAATTAGCGTAATTTGAGTGCCTCAATTTCGATGCGCTATTGTCGAATCTACCTCGTATTTATATACAATATCACTATGTCTTGTTACACACCTTAAAATGAATTTAACGTGAGAAAATCGGTCTTTGACTTATTGCGTTTTTCGTTGTGGTCTTTCTCAACAACAAAGCTATGATAGACTACGATTGGCATTTAATAATGAATCCCCATCCCCTGCCACGGTTTACAATTGATTAAATGATTTTAAGCGTGGGCGTAGCAATCTGAGTGATGATCTGCGGAAGGGATGTCATTCAACAGCGATATTTGAAAATACTATCAGTGTTGTGCGACGCTACGACGCATGATAGAGGAAGATAAGAGAATGAGAGACCTCCCATCAGAGTCGGACATGGTTAAGGTATTGGTCAAGTATAAAATATATTACGTATTACCTATCCCAAAAACCAGAAACGCCGTCGCATTGGTTGGTGTCGTGAAATGTTAAAAAAGTTCAACGAAACCTACCCTATGTTTATATCGAACCCTATATTTTACTTTGATATCGTAATAGGTGACAAAAGCTGCCAAACACAATGATAATGAATACAATCTGCTAAGTGGGTGTTTCCTTTTGTGGATCGGTCAACTAAAGTAAAGAAAAGAAGAAGTCAAGGAAATATGATTGCCTTGTTCTTTGGTAGGAAAGGTCATGTCGCGACAGTTGTGCTGGAAGATGGAAGGACAGTTACTGCACTGGTACGTTAACTGTTCCCCTCCGACCGGGTTCCCGCCTTAATATGGCGGTGGGCTTAGTAGCCTTAGCTTGGTCACCCACGCGAAGTTAAGAGGAACCCACACTGGGTCGACCTGTGGAGTAAGGCCGGCCCGATAGGGGTGCTTCGAGTTGGTTAATTGAGCCCACTCTGGATGCTTGCTGGAGGGTGCAGGGGACAGGTTGAGGGTGGTGGAGGAGGAGCCACTCTCCCTGTCTTTTGCTACCGAGGAGGAGTCGCGGGGGAAGAGGAGTGCCGGTATTGCGTTTGGCCGCTCTCCCTATCTTCCGCGACTCGGCGGGGCTGCACCGCTGATGCAGTGGTGGTGGGGCCTCGGAGGGAGAGGAGTGTCAGTATTGCGATGGGCCGTTCTCCCTACCTTCCGCGGACGAAACGTGGTGAGCGGCGGAGCCACAGACCACGTCCGCCACTGGGTGCTGGGAGGCTTGCTGCTTATTAGCACTGGCTCTGCTGGCCCCGGCCAGCAAACTCGGGGGAGTTCGTTGGCCGTGAAAATGGGGCCGTGTAGGAAGGCGCCCAGCGCGCCTTACCTGGAGGAGAGGGGAGTTGCTCCCCCGGAGGGGGCTGCTGAGGCGGCCAGCGCTGACAGGGTCGCGGAAATGTGCGAAAGCGTTCCCGTGACCCAACCGATATTCGCCTGGGTGGAATATCGCGGGGTTTATTTTTGCTTTTAGTTAGCTTGAAAAGTACTGCTTTTTATTTAGAATATTTGTAAAAATATTATAAATGGAACATACCACATGTAGTTAATATTTTTTCTTTTATGTGAGAAGGTGAAAAACGAGCTGGCGGTTCACCTGACGTTAAGTGATAACCGCTGCCTATTGGCATCTGCAACACTCGTAGGTTTTAGGTAAAATGTCTGCAAAAAGAAGTTCAGAAGTGAAACATTTCGACTTCACGACGGCTTTCTGTGTGGTCGTGGTACTTACGGACCTACCGATTCGTGCAACAGCGAGATGTGTTAAGTGGGTATACGCATATACAATTTACAGAAATAGGTATTATTCTCTTTTCTCTTATATATATTTACTGTTGACGGTGGCGAACGATGACGGTTTCTTTTTATGTGAAAAGTTCATAAGCGAGCAGGCGGTTCACCTGATGTTAAGTGAATACCGCCACCCATAGACATCTGCTACACCCGAGGGTTACAGATGCGTTGACAGCCTTTTGAGAATTGGGCTCCAGCTACCTCACTCACCGGACGAAAGGCGACAGTATTTGTCATACTTCCACTTCACGCCGGTCTTCTGTGAGGTCGTGGTACTTACCCGGACGAGCCTGTCCATTCGTACAACAGGCAAGCTGCTGCGTGGTCCTACCACAGTTAAGCGATCTGATACTGTCGCATAGTCGTTGTAGTTTAGTAATAAAAAGATATGTTGTTGTTGGTTATTAATAATCCTTCCTAATATTATAAAGGCGAAAGTTTGTATGTATGGATGGATGTTTGTTACTCTTTCACGCAAATACTACTGAATGAATTTTAATGAAACTTTACAATAATATAGCTTATACATCAGAATAAGACATAGGCTATAATGTATATAAATATTTTATGTATATCTGTCTTTCTGTCTGAATGTTACGCCTTCAGCCTATTCTACGCAGACGTAGTCGCTGGCAGCAGCTAGTATGCAATATTTCTAAAGAGCACAAATAAAACATTGATGCAAGTCAATACAATATATTTTTCAAACGCTTTTAACCGACTTCAAATAGGAGGTTATACATTTTACTTTTACTTAAAATCAATATTTTAACAATTCGTTTTTCAACAATCTTCTTTAATTACATAAATGTAAATATGACTCTCTGTTAAAAAGGGATTTTAGTCATATGACCTTTTTATAAGTACTTAAAAATTATTACAGATAGTATTTAAAGAAGCTCATTATAATTTTTAATTATTTATAGAAAAGGCTAGAACTATTATTATTGCTGTAACGTAACTTACATTGCAATTTAATATGACTCAAGTAAGAAACAATGTTTTCAATTAGGAAAAAATATTGTGTTACCTAATATCAACAAAAGTAAAAAAAATAATGTACTCAATAATAAAAAATTATTAAGAAGTGTTATGTGTGATACCTTTTGCTTGGAGGTATGCTTTGAAGTTAGAGGAGAATTCATATCATCATTAAAGATAGCCTTGTACATATCTTTTTTTATTAATATTCATAATAAGCTGTAATGGTTAAAATAATGGATACAATAAATATATATTCATACAATTTCTTTAAAAACTATAATATGACTAAGAGTATTTTAGAACATAATATGTTAGTTTTTAAAAAACTTGAAGATAATAAGATGTTAAAATTTGTTTGTATTTCTGGAGTCGTCAATAAAAGTACAGTATGAATTAACCTTAAACTTAATAATTAGAACTTATAAATTTATCAATAATTTAAAACTTGATATCAAATAATATTTAAACCAAAAACTTTGCTTTTTTTTAAAAAAAATTGCTTTATTTTACAATTTATTTCAATTTACTTTCTGAATATTTGCGCAAGAAAAGAGGTTACGACAGAACACGACAAAAGAATTGAACAAAACGAAAGAAACACCATACAGTTTTATTTAAGCCAATTGCAGAAGATATCAATTTATGGTAACAGTAGTTTAAAAAAATGGCAGTTTACTAAAAAACATTTATATTAAAAAAAATATTTTAAATCAGTGAAGCATTATTTCTTATATATGTACTGTGGACGCGCATCAAGTGTCAAGATGTTTTTGTAACAGAAAGCTATTTCCAAATATCGTGATACACTATTTAAGATTCTTAAGCGATATGGAAAAATATTTAAGAATCATAACTTGAGTTGCGCTAATTCCTGTAGTAGAGCCTGTTCATTGTCTATCTTAGCGAGCTGGTTGAGTTCAAGTGGCTTTCCAGCAGCTTTCTGTTGCTTCAGCTTATCAATGTCGCTTAGTTTCTGTGGAAATAAATTTATAATTAAATAATAGCCTAACAGGATAACTCAAAACAAACTTTTCAATATTATGTAAAAGTTTATGGGGAAAAATCGCAACGTAATTTTATTCTGTAGTCTATGATAACAATTGTCAAATTTCACTTCTGTCAATGTCTATAGAGTAACCTCATTTTCAGTGTGAAGATTTTTTTGTTATATCATAAAATTTGATTAGAACAGTATGAGATAAACTAGTGATACTTATTGTCAAATTTCACTTCTGTCAATGTCTATAGAGTAACCTCATTTTCAGTGTGAAGATTTTTTTGTTATATCATAAAATTTGATTAGAACAGTATGAGATAAACTAGTGATACTTTTGAAGTCATAATAACATTACTATAGATAATTCATCATTTTTCATTTCATACGATTTCTGTGGTATATTTTATGAACAAATTCATGTGCAAGGCGTAATACCACGTTGTTATCTAAATAAGGATAATCTTTCTGTAACGAAAGCTGTATGTAATTATGGCTACATACAATTAGATGGCCATGATTATATCAAATTGTGGCCATAGACTTACATTTTGTACGCCTCATACCGCCTAACGGTTGAGGTTGTACTCTAGCGATGGGCGTTGAATCAACGAACTAGTTGAATCAACCGTTGATCTCTTGTTAACGAATTCACTTAAACTGTCATTGAAATCAACTGGTTGAATTCGGTAACGTCGTTTCGAAAATTTTGGTGTTGAATCAACTCGTTTAAAAACGCAGTCAACGAACATAACTGTAAAAAATCCTATAAAACTACAACTAACTAATTCATACATTCAGAGACTTTTTCATTCATCGCCAAACCGTCTTATTACAAGTCTCTCCTTCTAACAGTATGTTTTATCTCTTTTAAATTCATTCAATCCATCCAATCCAAATTTAAAAACTTGGTAAATATTGATGTTTAAAAAATGTAAATGCTTAATACAATTTTAAAAAGTTATCCTCTATATGTGAGTTCATTTATTGTCGCGGTTGTAACGACACGCTGTATACGATATTAGTTTATTTATTATTATATAGTTTGAGGAACAAACGCTTACTTTATTTATGTTTTTAATTTTCTTATCCTTTTCTGGATCGCCTGTAGAGACGAACGGCGCCCGAGTCGTAGAGGGCGCGGAGGTGTGTGTCGGCGAAGCGTCCTCCCCTGTCTTCTCCTCAGCTTTGCGGGCCTTCCGTGCTTCACGCTTCTCTTTCTGCTTAATGGCTTGTTTGGAGGGCGTGACTGCGGAATAGTTAATAAACTAATTACTTGTCAAATCGATGAATTATATTTTTAAGGAAGACAAACTTTTGAACCACTTCAACGATGGGATTGGCACAGACGCGAAAATCCAAGTACGGAACAGTGTACTATTCGAAATTTTAATAACTTAAGCGTAGATATTTATTTTTCCGGTACACTATAAAACATAACGCCATGAAAATGTTAAACTATCATCCGCGCCAACAAAAATCTAGTCTATGGCACTCGCTAGTCTATGATTTTCATCCGAATGGGGTGAGCCTGGACTCGCATTTCGGTAGTCTGTGGCGCGGTTCGCACCATTGGTGTTCTGGCCGGGCCGATGCGGCTTCTCGTGCTCGTGGAGTGTGAAGTTGGAGGGCTTGTTCCTCGCCCCGGGCGGTCTGTAGGCGGCCGCTGGCTTCGCGGCGGCCGCTTCGATGCCCTTCGGCGCGCTCTTTGAGAGCTCGCTCTTGGCGAACGTGCCCGGCTGCCACGCGATGGAGAGCAGGTTCTCCTTCTCTTCGCAGACCCGCTTGTGCATCAGCGCGCCGGTGTAGTGCCAAATTTTGTATCTGCGCGCATATAAATTGTTACATGTCCTTACGATTACGTGGCGCAGTTGACGAGGTATTGGCTTTGGAGCCGAGGGTCGTGGCTTCAATTCCCAGACGAGACAGCTATTTTCGTGACCCACGGAGAATTGTTTCGGAACTGCTGTTTGTCCGCGTGAAATTCATGTATCTTCCACACAAAATACAATAACATATAATAACAAAAACATAACAAATTTCAAATTGATAAACACCTAGGTCCGGAAAAATCATCAGTCGGTCGCACAAAACCTTGTCCAGTGTAGGAAATGAATCCACGACCGACGCGGCGCAGCCAATAGATTAGTATGATGCGTATTTTGAAATTGTAAACATTAGCGCGTTGTACTATGACATGGTGAATAGTTCAGAATTTAATAAAGCCAACGTCCAACTTACCCATTACCAACGGTCAGGCGTGGGTACGTGGTGGCTGTGATGAAAGTCTCACCGCGTGGGTCCCATTGCAAACTAGTGGTGTCTGGAGCCGAGCAGGCGCCCAACTTCCTATAGCCTCGCACATCCCAAACTTCTATATGCCCTGTCGCTATGTTACCGAAACCTCCCAACAGGACTAGTGTTACTGAGTTAAGGAATTTTATAGTGTATCTTTACAACAAATCAGACTTTAAAACAAAACTATTCTGCTCTCGCTTATCGGTCCAAATTGAAAACCATTCGAAGACTAATCATAAGGACTTAGTAGATTTAAACACACATTTAACGTGTATTAAGTTGGGCCAGTTTTTAATTGAAGACAAAATTCAACAAACGACAAAAACAACACTTCTTTTGCAAAGAATAATATTAAACAAATAATATAGCATCATAATATTGTTTATTCAATACATATTCGTGCTATATATTGTATTATTAGAACTATATAAAACAATGTTAAAAAAACACTAATTTTATTCACGTGTGCCAAAAGAAACTGCATATTCCTTTATTCAAAATCTAGTACAAATTGGCTAACACAGAGCGCACACTAGCTCAGCGAAAGTAATAAAAGATATAACTACAGAGGCATAAATAAAACAAGATTTTCAAAGCAAACATGGCGGCCAATTCGAAAAGGATATTGTGCCCTTCGGGCGGGAAGTAGATGGCGTTCCAGGCGCCGGTGCCGAACTCGAAGAGCGGCTCACACTTGGCGTTGAAAAGCGTCGCTTTCGCCGGTGCGTGACCGTACACCGCCACCCATTCGTTCCAGTTGCCCGGATTCCAAGCGATGGCGTGAATGGGACCCTCCTTGCCTGTAAACATTGCCATTTTATCAATGTAACCAACATTAGGCTACGTTCAGGCGACAGATTACATTGTCTGTTGCGCGGCATGTTAACGCTGCGCTCTTTCTACTCTCGTCATTTGTGCAGCAGACTGTATGTTAGTAAAAATACGTCTCTACTTGACGAATAGACGATAGTTTAAGCGACTGACATTGAATGCAAAAACAATCGAACAAATGCATGTGAGGAAGTACCGCCTTACAGAAAGAAGACCGCGTGAAGATGAAGTATTATAAGTTTTCGTTTTATCTATTGGTGAGATAACTGGGGCATACACATTTAAAGGTTAGCAATCTTTCTGCAGGATCACAGATGTTGTAGATCTCCATGGGCAACTGTAATCACTAAACATGGAGTGAATCACCTTGTTGAATAACTTTCTCGTACCGAACTATCTCACAGAAATATACTTCGTAGTATTTAAATGTTACATACTAAAAGCAACATTTCCCGCATTGCCCTTTACATCGCCATAGGACAGTGTTTGCTTTCCATAATAGGACCCTCCGGTTTTGTCCACCTGATGAAACAAAAATTCATTGCTATGAGTTAGGGCAGGATCTTGTATATAAATCTGAATAAAGTGTTATACATTGCAGCATTAATAAAGCATTTTATGTTAAATGAAATAAAACACCTTGTTAATAGGAAAAAATAAAATGTAAAATGTGTTCTACATTGATTGCAGCCAACTTTTTAGCTATTGGGGTGAAAGGATTGGGCTTCTTTAAATCCAGTAAAAACTGTTTCACTTGAAAATGAATCAAAAGGAAATATAAATATAGATTTGTAAATGATACAATGATACTGTAGTAGGGCCAAGCAAGTGTTCGCTGTTGCACGAATGGGCAGGTCCGGACGGGTTAGAACCACAACCTCACAGAAGACCGGCGTCAAGTAGAAGTGTTACACTAATGCGTTTCGACTGGTCAGTGAGGTAGCCGATGACCACTTTATTAAAAGTGCATCTGCCTACGAGTGGTGTCAATTTCCATGGGCGGCGGTTATCACTTAACATCAGGTGAACCGCCAGCTTGTTTGCCACTTTCAATCAAACTTAATCAAAGTTAGAACAGCTGAGCTTTAACTATCAAATGAAAACTTTAAACACGAGTACGACAAAAGTGAATTGTATGTGCTTACATCAGTTTGTGTCATGGTAAACACATTTGTACCGCGTTTGTTCCAATGGAAGGTGGCTTTGTCAGCTTGAAATGAGGACCGACTTATCACTGCCTGGTTAATGTCGAACTGGGGATACTTAAACACACGCCAAAAAGATGGTTGGCCAGGTTTACCTGGAAATAATTCAGTAAGAAATATGTGATTTGAAATAATTTATTAAGAAATAGTGCCGATTATAACCAGCTGATATTATTTACAATCAAATGAAAAACACAAGGTCTTGGACACTTTAAAATTTGTAGGAAAATTGGACGAAAAGTTTTTCTTTGGTGTTGTTATTTTGTTAAACATTATTAATAAAGTTGAGTGAATATTAGTCAGCTATCTCACACCAAAAAATACTTTTGTTTCAAAATTTAATAACATTTCAGAACACTAACCCAATGTAAATATAGAAAAGTAATATGTAGGCGAGGGACATGGAGATAAGCTAAAACATTTAAGTTTTTCTGCTTGGATCTGTTGTGTATACCTCTCCAATTTTCCGTCTTCATATATTAAAACTTTACCACTAATTTGTATGGCAAACAACTTCTCATCTGATGACCAATTTGGCTCCCTGCAAGTACAGTAAATCAATAGAGTATTTATAGATCATACTTTATATAATTAGACAATGTTTTGCTCGTTACAAACCAGCCTGTTTGATGCTTTTGTGTAAAAGATCCAATTTTTTCACCATTAGCTGACTTATACACATGTAAGTTTGGTTTACCCTAAAAAATTTAAACAACAATTGATAATTTAAGTAATTATTTAATACTTTCATAAAATAATTCTTTTGATGGTAACTGTACAACATGAGTACAATTATTTACATTGAAAGATTGCAAATGAATGTTATTTCGAGAACAGTAGTTAATGATGGAATATTGTTAAAACTATGTGAATAAGAGCCCTGATTATCATTAACTGTAAAACAAGTCAGAAGCTCATGTCTGGAGGTTCATATTTAGGTAAGACGCTTCTTGTATCTTGTATTAACCGATGTTTTTGCTTTTAGTCCCGAGACTATTAAAGCTTCATCTGACGCTTCATCCCACGGGTTTGGGCCCTCCGCTGTGGGTAGGACCGCGCATGTGCTCATGCGTGCATTTAATTATGGTATGTCATCTAAGGGCTATCGAGGTTGCGGTTTGGACCGGGGCCCCGATGGCCGTCGACAGTGTTTTTAGTTAATCGGTGGCTGGGGGCGGTGATAACCGCCCTGGAACGCGGGTGTACCTTGTGTACGCGTTGTGTTGGTCTCGCCGTGCTCGGAGGCGAGGGCGAACTATTGTGTTTGTTGTTACACTAGCTGTGGGTGTAGTGTTATCCGGCGGGACCCCCGGCGGTAGTTCCAACGTATCTAAGTCCCCTTCCTCGACCGGGTCGATGAAGACGTTTCGCGGGCGACGCTTTTTGACGTTCGCGTTTGTGTCGGGTTGGTAATTTGCTGCGCTTACCACCAGAGGATTGGGATGATGTTCGGCTCTATGGAAGAACCGTTTGGTCAGGTCTTTAAAATATTCGCGAATCGTCGAGAGCCTGCAATCGCTGTGCAGGTCGACGTTGCGTTGATACCACTGCGCACCGGTTGCGGCGGATGGATTTATTTTGTACTATTTGCAACTTGTACAAGCGAGAAGGGTGCGTGTGGGCGAAGGTCATGCATGCGTAGGACATAATAGGTCGTACGCAGGTCTTATATAATAATAATTTGTGCCTAAAGGGAATTTTACTTTTAGCGTTAGTTAAATTGTGTAGCCAGCCGGAGACGAACGCGGCTCTATTACGAACGTTATTGATGTGCGTAGTAAATGACATACGTGAGTCGAAATTGACTTCTAAGTATTTGACCTTTTTCTCCCAGGGGAGCGGTTGGCCATAAAGGGATATTTGCTCTACTTTCTGCATTGGCGAGGGTCATTATAAAGATGTGACGGGTAAGTACTTCGTGTGAAGTGTCAAGAATCGCCACACTCTTTTCGGGATTTACTTCTATTCTCCATATGCGGAACCAATCGCCGAGGCGGTCGGTGGCGCTTTAGAGTAGAGTGGCGAGTTGATTGAGATTTTTATCTGTGTAAAGGAGCGCCGTGTCATTCGCGAAAAGCGCGAGATTGACGTGCGGGTCTTTGGGTATGTCGCTCGTGTAGAGCGTAAAGAGTAAGGGTGAGGAGGCAGGAGCCTTGTGGAGGGCCTGCCATGAGGCGGCGGCTTGTGGAGAGGGTGCCTTCAACTCGATATCGAAAAGATCGGTTCGACAGGAAGGCGCGGATGGTGTGTACGAGCCTATCTGGCACTTTGAGTGTTGAAGCCGTTGTGCCAGACCTTGTCGAATGCCTTTGCGACATCGAAGAAAAGAGCCCCCGTGCTAATATGTTTCGGATGATTTAAGCCTTTCAGGATGTGTTCCGTTAGGCGGAATAATTGGTCGGGACAGGAATGTCTAGCTCGAAAGCCGAATTGCTCCGCCGGCAGAAGGCCGTTGGAAAATACGTGCTCTTTGAGCCTGTTTGGGTAAACGCCTTTATGCGATCGTGCGATCGATGGCCTTCTATGGTGCGCCCATATGGTCTCATCGACTAATTGGTGTCCAACTTTGCTAAGATTTATAGTCTGCAGCAAAGGATGGCCATCAGGATCGCACGCGGATAACGTACTATATTCTTTGAGGCGGCCACTATCCTAGTTCGGCTTCCTTCACTGAACATCCTGGCAGAGATGGATGCGCGAGTTTATACTCGCCTCTATTATTCGCGGGATGGATGCGGAAGCAGGAGCGCGCGCGGGCGCTGAAGGTTTGGCGCGAGCGGCTTGAAGAGCCACGGAACCTGCGTCAGCGAGTTATCAGCGCCCTCCTGCCAACCTTCGAGGCCTGGCTAAATACGACGGGGTATGCACCTTTCGGCTAACGCAGGTACTCAGTTGGCAAGGTTGTTTTAGTACCTAAATAGAATTGGACGCGAACCGACGCCGCAATGTCACCACTGTGAAGAGGGTCGGCTTCTGAGTGCCCTGCGTGCGATTCCGAACGACGGATCGTGGTACAGAGGATCTGGGAGGACCTTTCTCCACCAATCGCAGCGGGATATCCCGAGTCCCTCCAAACGTACAGAACATGCAGACTATGCACTAATAACCTCTGAAGATTAGGCTTTAGCCCATCAGAGATGTATTTAATATTTTTACTCTTGTGGTTATACTTCTTTTGGAGCATTCAAGAACAATGATGAAAATGTAAATTTTTACTAAGCAGCAAACAGACACCTAAAAGCCACACCAACGATGGTGTTATCATTGCAACGAGTAACAACTTTTTGACATTTACCTATAATTCCAAGCTATTTTGATTAAACTATTATCAATTGCATTGAATATCTTTTTTTCACAAAGAAAGAGTACAGGCAAGTTGGTCAACATTTTTATTTATTTTTCTTTTGTTACACTAAAGAAGTATAACTTACATATGTTTTAGTTTGAATTTGTTACCTTTAATATTTGAAACTTAAAACTTAGTGAATTTTGGATAGCATTAGGTATTACCGAAAAAATATTACTCAATACCAACCTGGGGATCTTCTTTTGTTATCAAAAACATTTCCCAAACTGTAAAATAATTGTCCAATGGAGAAAAGAACATATCCTTGATGTTGCCATTGATTGTACCCGCTACAGACCAATCAGCACATTTTATTATTTCAGCCCTAATAAAAACATTCAGTTAAAGACTTGAATTAGTCACAAGCAATAGTAAAATTTTCCATTAGCACCGGGTGTTTTTCGACTTACCAAAAAAGTTTTATTTCACAAAATGATTAATGAAATAATCAACAAGCAGAATTCTCTGGTCGCTAATAGTTTATACGGACTTTCTTAGTGAAAATATGAAGTGTTAATTTTTTTTTCTCGAAATGTATAAGCAACCGGAGAATTTTATTAGTGATTTTTCTTCACTAAATAAATTTTATATTCTAAATACTTTTTTGTTAGGTCGAAAACACCCGGCGATAAAGGATGAAACTTCCGAATAAACAATTAGTTATAACGTTGCTGCATAATATTTTTGTACATGTATTTTATAACATGAATTAAACTTCACTCACTTTTTGTCTGTCCTATAAGCGAGATATTTGCCTTTAGGACTGTAAATTATGCTACGAATATTCGGTGTATTCTCATCTCTAAAAATTTTCTCCGTGTATGGTTCTTGAAATTCGATCAAGAAAAGATTTTTGTTTGTTAAACCTAAAAACAAACATGTAGGTATTAACCTCATCCCTAAAAGTTAAAAATGTATAGAAAATAAAAATATTATCTCTCATATTTACCAGCTATATATGGAGTCACACTCATCATTAACAGTTTATTTAATTTTATAAAAGTTTGAAACTATATTTAGTATTAATTGCAAAACACATGCTATCGGTAATCGGTATACTTTTGACTTTATTTATCTTCTGTTATGTCTGTCAATGTCACCGTCATCAAATCAATTAATGTGGCACATATGGAGTGTAAAGGTAAGGAAAACCATCATACGTCATAGCAATAGCTGAAAAAGTGCCCATCAGTGAGCAGTAAATAACGGTTCGAAAACTCTCCACAATAACGCTAGAATAGCTAGAGGGTAAGAACTGAACATAACAGTTGCCGACGAAGTGAAATGTGCTGAGTTGAAAAATTTAATATTTGTGGTGACTAGACTAAATGATGAAACTGTAGTATTTCTAGTCTATTTTTTTGCGATTATTTGTGACATTTATTTTAAATAAAATATATGCCAAAAATTTGTTGAATTTTTAAATTCAATATTTAGAATTTCTGGAACAAAAAATAATATTGTTACAAAAAGTATTTGTACTATTTTAAAATATTTGTAAAGTAAAAAAAAGTAAAGTATCGCCTATACATGTCCCACGACTGGGCAAAGGCCTCCTCTCTGTACAGAGGGTATCAGGTGTTGATTAGTAATCTCAGATTATACATACTCTTTTGATGTCAACTATGATCTGTTTGATTTATGTATTATGTTTGAATTACTTTCAATTTGGAATGTTAATTTTATTTCTTCAGATTGAGTTGTCATACTTGATGGATTCCGTTAAAATCGTTTGGAGAAGTAACATGTCTAGCTATATGACATAACTCTTGTATTTTACATAAATTTCATAATCATTACGGTCTAAAATAAGTTCAAAATGTTTAAGTTCAAATAAATAGTTTTCTTATCAGTCCTTAAGTGTCTTTTCGGTTTGAAAATGATCCCATTAGCCACATCCACCTTTCAAGATCAGGTCATAGTCCATCACGCGGCCCCACTGCGGATTGGCGGACTTCATAAATCTTCAAAAATATTTTTTTGTTGTTATTTCGAAAATATGCAGATTTTCTCACCATGTTTTCCTTCACCGCTTAGCACGTGATAATTCAGCACTTAAAGTTGACAATTTCATTGGTTCTGGCACCGGGGAATCGAACTTAGGTTGCTCGAGTAAATTAAATTAAAGGCGAGCGCCCGGATACTGAGCTACCACGGCTTAGTGTCCGGGCTTGAAAAGTGTGCCATAAAAAAGCGGATAGTTTTCTTTCCTTGTTTACGTCTCTATCCCATTCTAATATACTTCAGTAAATTTTTTAAAATTTACCCTCATGCTATAGTGGCGCCACCCTTATTCAACGATTTTCTACGGATTTTTATTAATAATTAGTGATTTTTCTCTATCGTTTACGCCAGAGTTAAAGTTATTTACATTTACCATTTCTCCATAGAAGTAAATAAAAATAAATGACAGCCTAAATAATATGACATTGACTTAGAGAGAAGAGGCAATACACACCATAGTTCAGAGTTTTAGGCCGAAACAATAATTCAATACTACTGGTACTGAATTACCAGGTGAATGTTATGCTTTGCAATGAAGTTTTATGTAGGGTAGAATGTATTAAAATTCTTGTTAATTTTATGAATATAATTTTGGTCCTTATATTCTTCTAAATAAAATATCTGCTTCATTCTGTGCTATCTGTGTAATTGCAATAAAATGGCGTATAATAATTGTAACGTTAGTCTGTAATCTGTACTGTATTCATTTTGAGTATTTTTGTTTTTAATGAAGTATTGTCGATAGGTATCTAAAACCATTGTAATTATAATTGTAAACTCGTAATAAGTTTTCAATAATAAATGTTTAGTACACAAAACCAACTCAAAAAGCGAACGCCTGATAATGGTATAGATCGGGAAAACTATTTATCATTATTGGTAGATGAATACATAAATACAAGTTCATATGGTCAGTGATTTATATTAAATTTTCAATTCTTAATATAAAATAAGGCTCCAGTTTTATTATTATATTCACGTCTCATTTCAATTTCAGATGCAAAATGCCAAGTGTTAGCTAATTTAGCTAATTTTGCTTACGATCCTATAAACTACTGTTTTATACGGAATGTAGGAGTTCTAGACATTTTTCTATATGTTTTGAAGAATGAGTCTGACAGAAAACTACTTCATTATGCTTCTGCCGGTGTCTGCAATTTATGTCTTGGTAAAAAACAATAATATTTTATATTACAATATAATTTTTTTCCTTTTCTTCTTTTGGACCAGGTAACTGTTAATGTAGTTCTAAAATGTATTTTTATTGTATATTAGATATTTCTTAAATATTTTTCCCTTTAAGAAAGAACCATTACATTACTTTAAAACAATTGTGTCAATGATCATTTATACTAATATTTACAATAGTTTTAAAGTATAATAAAATTTTAATAGTAGTATTGTTATGTTTCAGATCCATTGAACACAGAGTACATCTTAAACTATGGAATATTGAATTTATTTCCCTCACTTTTGAAAAGTTCACATACTGGTTTAATTGCTTCTGCTATTACTATTCTTATCCAAATACACAATACCTTAAGTAAACCAGAACTATTTAATACTCAAATAATCCAACAGGTGATGATCTTAAAAGGAAATGAAAATAAGATTATTGCAAATTTGGCAAATATATTTCTTGATGATGTTAAGAAAAGAAATTAAATATGTAAAATCGCCAATATATATATATATAATTAAAACCATTTGCTTGGATATTTTATAAAAAGGCAAGATGTTATCAAATAGATTTCCATATATAGCAATGAACAATAAAAACTATCAGAAAATTTGCAAACTACATACATCAACATTTAATAGTGTATCATTCAAAGCAGGTGATAAAATTCGGATACAGAAAACACTTACTCAAAAAGACTTGGATACATTTTCAAACCTTACAAGTGATCATAACTATATTCACAAAAACAACGGGAACAAAAGGCCTATTGTCCATGGAGCACTTTTGAATGGGTTAGTTGCAGGACTCATAGGTACACATTTACCAGGTCCAGGAACTATTTTAGTATCGCAGACAATGAAATTTCCCAATAAATGTTTTGTTGGTGAAAAATTGACAATAAGTGTTGAGTTAGTTGATGTGAGAAAAATTTTAAAAGTTAAATTTTATTGTATTGTTGAAGAAGAAAAGAAGGTTGTGTTTGAAGGTGAGGCTAAGCTTATGTTAGCCAAAGACTGTTAGTTAGCTGTAAGCTAAACACTTTTAATAATTTATTACAAAACTTTGCATCAAGTTCATGATTGACTGTAAATATTAAAATACTTATATGAATAAAAGTTTTTCATAAATAAAAACATGTAGAATGGTTGAAAGGATATGTGTACCTAATATTTTCTGAGCCAATGGGGTAGCAATACAAATAAAGTTATTTTTTTTTCTTATTAAGGGTCATATTGTTTTATTTTCAACAGGACAAAGTTACACAAATGAAACAGTCTTTTAACAGCAAGTGAAAATATACATTTTGTCTATTATATAATGTCATGAGGTCAATGTATAGATTGATAGCCTTTAATACATTATTAGTTTATCTACAATTATGTATTTAAATTAACAGTATGTATATGTGGATCAATGTGATAATTATTACACAGTTCTTGCCTGATGCTATTTTTTTCAAATATTTATGATTGTGTCAAAGTTAAAACTTATCAATAGAGATATCAGAATAAAAAATACCATAATTGTAAGCTTTATTGAATCATTGTATTATTTAACAGTAGTGTTTGCGAAAGTACAAGCATTTTATTGAATGATTGAGATGCAATTGTTTGTTAACTTTTGCATTTTAAGGAACAATTTTAGAGTACAACTCATGTCCATTTTATAATTATTGTATTAGATTCATAAGATACTTAAGATAATTATAGTTACATTATTGAAAATCAGTATTAATTTAAACAAATGTAAATAGTTGTTGTTCTATTTTTACTCTAAAGTATTAATTTTGTTAATTTTTTTTTGTTTATAAAGTAGTAAGTGATATATTCGAAATGTATTAATTTTTTTTATTTATACTATTTGGTATCAGTTTTCATGTCTGAGAGTGTGTCATACTGCCATGCTGTGCATGATGTATTAAAATATTTTACTGAATAGTGTGTTTCATGAACAGAAATTTTATTATTATTATTCTTAAATATTATATAATTATTCTTTAATGTTGTGTCATGCATGCTTGGGAAGCTTATGTCTCTGGCAATGCATGCGTTTAGTTATCCCAATCCATAGGATAACTAAACCTATAAAAATGCTTATTTTTTTTATTTACATAATATGTTATCATTATCAATTATTTTGCCCCTCGAACCGTAACCATATGATTTTTTCGAATACGTTGAAACCGGTGATTTGCATTATGCGATAAGTTTTTAGGATACATTTTTTATTTTTAGTGCTGGTCTCTGCACTCAAGATGTTCATGACTTTCAATTATAAATGTTTTGTAGATAAATGTACTAATTTTTTGGACGCGAAACCGGAAGACACAGATTCGAATCTCGTAGCGCCTAAAGTTTTTGTACATAACTACAAAAAAATTATAATTTAAACTTCTTCAGTTGTTTGGCTTTATATACCGCGCCCGCTTGAAAATAGCTAACAATGAAAGTACAGTTAATATAGTTCGTAATCTTTCAAAACACGCCTCTAATACAGAATTAGAACAGATTAGAAAGAAGAATATCTCACAATTATGAATAATATTACAAGCATTCGAATTGAGCAAAATCCCTTATTTTTTGTTTGTTTTTTTGAATTTTTTTATATAGAGTAATTATTGGAATTTTGCTATTCCCAACGATTATAATTTTCTGACGGTCCGATTTTTTAAGAATGCAGCCTTTAACGGATGGTAAGCGATGACATTTTGAGTTTGTCCGCAGAATGAACAATCTTCCAATGATGAAGTTCAGTGACAGAAATTATTCTTAGCAATTCCTAACAATA